CTAATTTGTCCACGGAGGCATATTCAAGATGTGCTGTCGGAACATCCTTCCGGGAGTTTATTTTGGATGGGCTGGATTAGCAGGTCGAGGTATTTATAAAATGGTTATGAGCGTGGGTTGGAATCCTTACTTCAACAACTCCGAGAAGACAATTGTGAGTTGTCGTTCGTTTTAGCTCGGTTATTTGTTCATTGTTACCATTCTGCCCTTTTGCCCCTTATTTATTTAGAGAGCATTAATTATTATTTGTTACAGGAGCCGTGGTTGCTTCATGATTTTGACGAGGATTTTTATGGCGAGGATTTGCGTCTTGTTATTGTTGGCTATATTCGACCGGAGGTATAGTGCACGATTCACTTCGTATTTTGCAGTCATTTTTATTAGGGATGGCAATTTGACCCGCCCCGACGGATCCCCGCCCCGCCCCGTCCCGAAATTTTCGGGTATTACCCGCCCCGAAAAAAAATGGGGCGGGGATGGGGATTGAAATTTTTTTTTGACCGGGTATGGGTACGGGGATGGGTTTGCCTATACCCGCCCCGTAGACCCGCCCCGTACCCGCCCCGCATTATTTATATATATAATATATATTTTTTAATTATAATATTAAATATAAATAATTAAATAGTAGTAATATATTAAATATTAGTTAAAAATGGGGATTTTTAGGTTTCCATTATATAATTAAATATTAGTATTATAATTAAATAATGATTTATTTGTAGAAATAAACCTTTAAATTATAAGTAAAGTGCATATTTATTTATTAAAAAAAAAAAAAAAAGACGGGGATTTTTACCCGCCCCGATACCCGTGGGGATTTTATGGGGCGGGTATGGGGATTCTTTTAATACCCGTGGGAATTTTTGATGGGGATGGGGATGGGGATTTCCATTGCGGGGCGGGGATGGGGATTGCAAAACCCGCCCCATACCCGCCCCATTGCCATCCCTAATTTTTATGCATGAGACTTCTATTTTATAACTAGATTTTTTTATTTTTATTTTGGTGTGCAATCGTACAGGCGAACTTCCCTTCGCTCGAAAGCTTAGTAGCGAAGATACACGAGGACAAGAAAATCGCGGAGGAAGCCCTTGAACTTCCTCTTTATTTGAAGTACAGAGATGATTCATATTTGAATACTTCTTCGAAGCAGAATTGCTAGTTGTTTAGTCTGTTAATTTCGAATAATTCGTGAGAGCCTGCATACGTGGCTTGATTCATTCAAAATATTTACATAGTTGGAATATTACACTTTTTTTTTATTTCTATGTACACTAAGATCATTTCTTATATGAATACTTAATATTTACAACCAATATTTTCTTTAAACTAATTTAATTACCAAAATATAATAAAAAGATAAACAAAATTTAAGATAAAATCACCTTTTAAATTTTTGTATCTAATATAATTCTACTCCTGTCGTTCATAACTTGCAATTTCGTGAAAAAAAAAAAATTTAATTAATTTTTCTCTCTCTACTTAAAACAAATAATTATTAATCATATTACATATATATAAAAATTGGATTAAATTTATGAAGAGTGTGGGCCTAATGAGGAATCGGATAAGCAGGCCCAATATGTAAAAACAATAAGGCCCTTTGATTTAGACCTTAGTATTGTCATTTGGCGGCAACGTAATTTTTTCAGTCACCTGCGCGGAGGATTGATGGGTGAAGAAGCAGAGGAGCTCCGCCCTAGTTCGGACTCCGCCGCCGGAGTTAAGGAAACACTCTTTGATGGCGGAAACTCCTGGCCGGCCGTACACTACGACGTCGCTCCATATAGAACCTACCATTTCTTCCAGCAGTTTAGAACCGCCGATTCGAACCCTAACAACTTTCTGAAGGGCGTCAAATGGTACTTTTCATTTACACCGAAATTATGTTTCATTTATCTTCAATTTCAGAAGAGGATAAACAAATCATCTCATTTGCTAGTACCAATCTTACTAGTTTTCTCTCAACAGGTCGCCGGATGGTTCGTGCCTCCTAACTTGCTCCGACGATAATACCCTCCCGATTTTCAGCTTGTAAGCTTATTGATCATGATGAATTCTCAGTTCTCGATTTTATTTAATTCCTTGTAATTTGTGTTTCTGATCGTGTATTATCGATGTTTTTATCATTAGACCTTACAATGGGAGTGGCAGTCTAGATGGTTCTGCTTCCATGCCAGATTCTGGTAGCTTGATTTTCTCCAACTCTAGAAATTCCATGTATCATGCTTGTGTTAACTTTTTAAAGATTTTGATAATTTTTTTATTGCTTTTCGTCATTCTTACACTTGTTAGTGAAAATGTTTGTTCTTCCACTTATGCAATCAGTCAAATACACAAGTACTGGTGGATTTTAAACATCTTTTCGTTTTCTTTACATTTAATTCATTAATCGGCTTTGAAAAATATTCCTTTCTGTCTCATTTATTTATTCATATATTTGATAATCAATGACTAACAAATTGATAGTTTACGATTACATTTTGTTTGTTGTAAGGTATTACTCTCTGTTTGTATCCTTTCACCCCTATTGCCTTGCAAGAATTTAGTTTTTTTTCTGGAAATGCAGCTTAATGTATTCAGCCTACCTGCAGATTCGTATGCAGCAAACGTTGCTGTGAGAGAGGGGGAATCTGTATATGACTATTGCTGGTACCCATACATGTCTGCTTCAAGTACATCTTCATGACATGGTTTTATTATTCCAAACTATGATATTGTTTTTGAAAGTAGAATTTACTATGTTGCCCGTTTGATATTTCAGATCCAGATCTTTGTGTATTAGCGACGTCTACTAAAGACCATCCAATTCATCTATGGGATTCTAATTCTGGACAGGTTGGATAAACGACAACTTGGTATGTGTGTATTACTTTGCGTATTATTTGATTTGAGTAATGAGTATATATGAATGTGGTAATTTCAGCTCCGCTGCACGTACCGTGCTTATGATGCCATGGATGAGATTACTGCTGCCTTCTCAATTGGCTTCAACCCTAATGGAAACAAGTAAGCATCAACCTACATGCGTGACACCAATTTGTTGACTTGTTATCTCTCCAATCCACGTTAAGACTTGGCGCTCGTGTGATATACGTCATAATTACGATATTGTTGATAGTTCCTAAATTGTACAATATTCAGTTAGGTGTTCATTGAGGGCCCCGTTATTAACTTGTGTTGTTAAATTAGTGAATACTTTCATTTCCTTGGAGGAGAGGAGATGACATCATTATTATGCTGTTTAACTAATAACACTTTCATTTCTCGCGATGATGTGCCATTAACTATTCTGGTGACTGTTATTTTTCCCAATTCAGGATTTTTGCTGGATATAATAAAACTATTAGAGTATTTGATGTTCATCGCCCGGGGAGAGATTTTGAACAATATTCAACTCTTTCGGGAAAAAAAGAAGGGCAATCTGGTAATTCTATCAGATTTTTGCATTAGTGAAACTTTCAAATGCATAGTACCAGATTGATATTTGTGATATTTACTTCATTCCCCTTTGTTTGATTTTTTTATAGTAACTTCTTGGATAAGTTATTTGTTGTTGTTAAATTGTAAATGATCAAGTAGCTATTAGTAGTGACATGTGAACCTGTTTTTTTCTTGTGGTCAGGTATCATATCTTCAATTGCTTTCTCTCCCACTGATTCTGGGATGCTGGCTGCGGGTTCCTACAGCCAAACTACTGCTATATACAGAGAAGATAATATGGAGCTGTTGTATGTGTTGCATGGCCAAGAAGGTGGTGTTACACAAGTAAGTTGGGTGAATTACCATTCTTAGGGTTTAGATTTCCGATTTTTCTTTTAAAGTGGCTAATCATTCTTAAGCCATCTCTCAGGTTCAGTTTTCGAAAGATGGCAACTATTTGTACACCGGGGGGCGTAAGGTATAGTTAAACTGCACATATTTTGACTTTCAAACATTTGTGATACAATATTATTTAAGAGTCGATCACGAATATTTTCTCAAATATCATACAGGATCCGTATGTGCTATGCTGGGATATTCGCAAAACTGTTGATATTGTCTACAAGTAAGTCTCTTGTTCCTCTAGGAACCTAATATAATAAATGGAAATTTTATTTAAGGAGGGAGATAGTAAGTGCCCCAAAATTATTGTTTATAATACTTAAAACAGAATCACACAATAAATGTAACTACGACCTTGTTGATCATGGATTTAAGTAACCTTAAGTGGAATTCACGGAACCAACTAATATTCTTTCCCATGTTGAAATGAACATTCAAGAACAGTGGACCTGTTATTACAATGCAACTTCATAATTTAACTCACTGTTTTTTCCACATTTGGTTAGACTATATCGATCATCCGAAACTACCAATCAAAGGATACAATTTGATATTGAGCCTCTTGGTCGATATCTTGGAACTGGCGGTCAGGTACCAATTTTTAGCTTTTGTATTTTTGTTCATGCTGTCAATTCAACATCATTTGATTGCTTACTTTTGTTTAAATTCTTTTATCAAGGATGGTCTTGTGCATATCTATGATCTCCAGACAGGGGAATGGGTATCAAGCTTTCAAGCTGCGCTAGGTGATTGCTCACCACCCCCACCCCCACCACACCCACTTACCCAATCCACCCACCCCTAATGTTGTTTGTCATATTAAACAGTATCTTCAATCTATCTTTTGTTTTAATGCTTGCATTTGTATTTCAGATACCGTAAATGGTTTTGCTTTCCACCCGTTTCTCCCGATGGCAGCAACTTCATCAGGACATAGGCGATTTGCTGAATTAGTGGATGACTCTCAAGAAAATAACCCTTTAAATGGTATTAATCATCAGTCCCTCAATACACTATCTCCATTCATCATCATGTGTGCTTATAATCTGCAATCAGTTTTTCAGTAACCATATTATATTAATTTACGTTTCTTGATATTCAATCTCAGCGCACTTCCTAGGTTTAGTCTATATTTTAGCCAATACCCCGTCGTAAAGTAATCTGAGACGGTCTCAACTTTATGTTAACTTGTGAGTTTAACTGTATCTTTCTATTTGTAAATTTTAGGTCACGAAAATTGTTTGTCTGCATGGAGCTTTTATTCTTCGACAGCGGATGATGCAGCCAACACTGATTCTGGAAATTGATATCTTGACTTTGGATCTGTACAATAGCTTATAACATTGGCCATATTTATGTTGTAGATTTCCAAATTTTGCATTGAAGATAAAAATTATGACCGAAATCTTGACTAATATGAACTCTGATGCATATGTTTTATGGTATTAATAGAGGTTGATACTGTTTCAAACAATTGCCATTTTAGCTTGATACAATTCAAAGTTACTAGAATATGTAGATCTATATGAATATTAAAATATTCAAGTTTACCTAATCTTATTTAGTGTCATCAAAATTAAATTAACCTATGCCATTACAATAGGCAGGCATGAAATACATATATATTTTTTCATATAACATCTGTTTTGGTAAGGGATAATTACAGATAAATCCCTATTGCAAAACTCATAACGCGGATCAGTCCCCATTGCGGCACTGCCATCTGTTTTAGGGACTGACTTGCAAGTGAAACTTGGCAAGGGATTGAACTGCATTTTTAGTTTGGCAATGGGAATTTATCTCTAATTATCCCATTTGGTAATGCTATTACATTTTCCTACATTATGTCTAGTACAATCTCTTTGTTGGATTCTTCAGTATCTGCTAAAATACTATATATGGTAGTAGAAATGAAATCCTGCGACTTGGATTTGTTTTATCATATATAGGTAATTGGGTTTATCATTTTTTGCTTGTAAAAAATTAGTGGAATAAAATTTTCACTAATCTTATTTTTGAAAAAACGGATAAATGCAATGCACATGCAATAAATTTGAATATTACAAAATAAATAATAAATCCAATGGCTTAAATACTATAACGTTCCTTCAAACCCTACACCCAACGATTACCCTCAGTTGTATTTCCGAGTAATATTTCCGTGCAACACGTGTATTAATCGAAAGTTAAGTCGTAGTTAAAAAAACTAACAAAAAAGGACGCGTGTTACTTTTAGAAACTATCGGTGATAATTACTCCGTGTAAGATCAAATAAACCAAACTAGCTCCAATATCGTAAGTATCCGTTCGTACGGTTATCGATAAATTCAACGAACTAACCTTCCGTACAATTTTATTTGTCGTTTTAAGTTAATGATCAACGGTGAATATCGTAAACGAATAAACTAATTACTTGAATTCCTAAAATGACTAATAATATTTGGAAAAAAAAAATACTTTTTTATTTTTATTTTGCTACACACACAAATAAAATAAAATAAAATAGTCAGCACATTTAATTTATTACATTTTGCAGAATCGAAATTCAGATTTTTCCAATTTACAAAACAGGAATATTTTTTATTAGGAAACCAAATTACGTAAATTAGCTGTACATCCCAAAATCTGACGTAAGAAATATGTCGTACTCCTAGCTGTCAAAATCATTATCCAGTCATCTTCTACCACTCCCACTCCTATATAAACCCCCACTCGACTCATCAGCCATCACACATTTCTGCATTGCTCTGAATTCCTCTCCTCTCAATTCATCAAACCCTAGTTTTCTGTTTTTGATTTTGTTTCTGTCAGTAATTGATATGAAACGAAGGAAAGAACAAAACAACGTCGTTTCGATCCCTGAATTGGACGACGATGTACTCGATTCAATTTTCTCTCACCTCCCAATCAAAGAAGTCCGCGACCTCTCCATTCTCTCGCACAGATTCCGATACTCATGGAAATTCTGCCGGAACTTATCCTTCGACCGACACTTCGCCGGAACCATGTCGACGGAGAAGTTCAAAAACTCCGTCAACTATTTCTTCAAGCACCACCGGAGCACCTCCGCCGACAAATTCCGGCTGTACTTCGACGCCACCAACGACGTCAACCTCGTGTCGTGCTGGACTCAGAAGGCCGTCAATTTAGGGATCAAGGAATTCGAACTGGATCTAACGCCGACGAAGACGATTCTGATGCTGAGCTGGGATCTCATCAACGTGGAGACGATCAAATCCGTGACGCTCGTCAACTGCGAGCTCCACCTGCCGTTAAACTCAAACGGCCTCCGTCACTTGAAGGAGCTCACGCTCCGGTGCGTTAGGGCCCGGCCCGTTCTGGTGAAGGCGGTGCTTGCTAACTGCTCGTCGCTCACGACTTTCCGCCTCGTGCGGTGTAGCTGTATTTACAATCTGAGGATTCTCTGCGGACCGGATTTGAAACGGTTCAAAACGCTGGTTGTGGAGAATTGTTCGGATTACGATTCCGTCGCTATAATTAACGCTCCTTCTCTGTGTTCATTCCGTTACCGTGGAAAGATCTGTGAGTTTCGGATCCAGTGCCATATGGAGCGGTTAAATGACGTGGCATTCGAGATCGAACATTCGAAAGATTTCCGGATGCTTCCTCACAAGAAGGAAATGGTGGTTGGTATTGCCTATGTTAGACATCTCACTATTTCCAGTGCTTTTCTTGAGGTATTTTTTATTTTAAATTTTAAATTTAATCGTCATTTAAAAAAAATATTATTTATCACTTTAGAATATCAATACAGCGTTTTTTTATTCATTTATCGTTATATTTCCCTTATTATTGCTGAATTATATGAATTATTAATACTCGATAAGAGTAATTGAATCATTTTTAATACATATTAATTGATAATAAAAGAGAATTGTATCTAATGTTAATACATATTTATTGTTTTGAGAATTCTACTAGTATTAACTTCATTTCGATTTAATTTTGGTAAAAAAAATGAAAATGCAGGGGCTAACTTCGAAATTCGAGGAGATGGAATTCTACTTCTGGAGACTATTGAAATTACAGGTGACCGTGGCATCAGAAAGTTACATAAATCCTTCCGACATCGCCAACTTCCTCAAGAAGTGCCCGCGTATTGAGAATGTTTTCATCGACGTAATTACTTTTAATTTTTTTTTTGTTTAAGAAAAGAAAAAGAAATTCTAATTCAATTTTTTGATTTGTTTGAAACCCTAATTGTTTAATTTTAATTTTCTTTTTGGCAGATTGGGCAGAATGCATTTGGGAGTAGTCCTTATTGGATTATGAAAGGGAGGAAGTGTTTTGATAAGTGGGAAACATTATTTCCATTACTCAAATATGTGGCATTGGAAGGCTTCACTTTGAAGGAGCAATCTATTACAATGGCTAGATTCTTTCTGAAGAATGCAATTTACCTTAGACATTTAACTCTTATTAAAGCCAAAAACTACAATTTTCCTCCAACATTTACCCTAAACTACCTTGTTTCGGGAATACTATCTAATGCGAGAATCGAACTCATTGAGTATAACCGAGAATCGACTACTACCATGATACCTGTACGTAATCCTGTGGGATGATTACTACCCCCTTTGCTCATACGATATGTCTCTTTAGAGAGTTTATTTTGTCCCCAAATTATTTGTAACTTTATATTTTCAATGAAGCATTAACTGCACTTTTTTCAATTTACCATTTATTAATTTTAATTAGTTAATTAGTTATTTCTATAATTTTTAGTATAATTTATGCATATTTATTGATTTTTCTTAATACGTGCACAACCACAAAAAATATATAATATGGGACGGAATGAGTAAATAGTAATAAAACCATTTGAAGTTTCTTTTTTCTTTTTTTATAAAATTATATTTTGTAATTTTCAACAATTTACAATGAGGTAAACATTTAAATTTTGTGAGTATTATGAATTTGAGAAGAAAAAAACATTGACTAGTATTTATTACTGTATTACCTTAGCATGTGAAGCAATAATGAATTACAACAATTATAATGTTCATTAATATTAACAAAATCAAAGGTGCTATTTTGTGGGATTTTGAAATCCCAAAGTAACTCTTTGTTTACCATTCACATTTATTTAACCTGGTTCTAATATTACAGAGATATAGCACGAACATTGAACTTGTAATTCTGTAGCAAATCAAATTTGCCTAGTCAACGTAAAATATTTATAACATTTAATATAAAGTTATAAACACATCCACATTCAAATTGCTCAACATATTGACCGTTGACCTTTTATCTTCCTGTTTTATTTATTTTTCATCTACATACAATCACAAAAATATATATTTAATTTAATATAAATTGCCAAAGATTAACATCTGATACACTTCATCAATACAAAATTTACGAAACACTATTTTTTATTTATATTTAAGTAATAAGATTAAAACACTATTGGTAGTTTTTTGTTTATTTAAACATCTACAGTACAGTCCAATATTTTAATTTTATTTCTCCATTTCATTTCTTAATAACATGATTCTCAACTACTCCACTCAAAATATCCAACAAAACATAGTCTCAAATTTCGAGTAATTAAAGTTATTTAATTAGCTTTTTCTTATTTAAAACAATTAATTAAAGTTTTTCTTTTTGTGGATGCGGTTTCTGGTAAGGTAAAAGTGACAGGCAGCAGCACACAGTTGGGCTAACTGTACTTTTATTATTTTTCCTTAAAATAACAAAACTAACAGTGTGTGTGTTTGTGTGTGAATGCTTGGCTCAGCCGCCTATTTAGAATCCTCATCAAACGGATCTCAGCCGTTCAAGTAACCACGTGTCAGCATCAAAATGCGCAGTGAGGGACAGGCGGTCACGATAGCAAGACAACCAGGACACGTCTGTGGACGAAAAACACGCTAATTGAAATATACATCGCCAGCCGTCTTAGACCGACCACTATCCGCCACGTCAGCCGAACCACTCGTGTTGCTTCCTTCCTTCCTCCAACATCTCCCCGCCTCTCACCTGCCGACACGTGTCCGGCTCCAACGGCTAGTTTTCGTGCTTCGCTATATACCCTGGTGTTTCTCTCTCTCCGATATTCTTTTTCCGACGGAGAAAATTCCAGCGCTTTCTAGCCATAACCTAAAATCAAAACCTTCATCGTTTAATTTTATTTTATTTTCATCCCTTAAAAATCGCTTTTTACCCGATTAAAGAGGAGAGAGAGTGAATTTATTTATAACCGATTTGTTTTCAGAAAAAAGGAAAATTCGATTTTTTAATTTTAATTTATAAAAGAGGGAGAGAGTAAGTCTCAGATTGTGTGGGAGTGGGTGTAGAGATATACATACATATATATATATATATATATAGAGAGAGAGAGAGAGAGAGAGAGAGAGAGAGAGAGAGAGAAGATAGTTGCAAAACCGTTCTTTGTTTCCTTCTTTGCTACAACCGTTACATCAATCTTCATTTACTTTTGGTCCTCCAGTTAGGGTTTGCTTCACCATTTTAATTCGGCCTAATTCGTCAGATCCTCGATTAGATTTGGGGCTTTTTGGAGATATTTCTGAGTGGTTCGACTGCTGTAAAATCAGATCTCGTTGATTAACAAAAATGGCGATTGGGAAGAAATGTGGTTCGAATGTGACTAGGGCAGACGAAGGGTACGGAATGGGGCTTGTGCGAAGTACTTCGTTCGGGAGGAAAAGAGTTTCTCTGTCAAATCTAAGTATTGATTACGAGAACGATGACAATTGTATGGCCGCCACCACACCTTCCCCTTCGAAGAGAAGATGCTTTGAAGATTCGTTTTTCTGTGCAGAAAAAGCTTCACTTGAGGACTTGCCTCAGGAAATCCTGGTTAGTATTGTTAGTGATTTCAATTTTAATTTCATGATTCAATGCATTTTATGTTCTAAGTGTATTAGTTTGTAATTAAATTCATTTCGATTGAGCTGTATCACTAAAAAGATTCTTTTTTTTTTTCGATTGTGCAGATTCGGATACTTTGTGGTGTGGAGCATGATGATTTGAAAACTCTGTTTTTCGTATCCAAGGCGATAAGAGAAGCTGTAAGCATTTTCGTTCGCTGAAGAAGCTTTTAATTCTCAAAAATCATTTTTTTTATAATTTGATTAGTATATTCTAATGATGCTGTTTTAATTGGAACAGACTTTGGTGGCAAAGCAATCTCATTTTGCTTTCAATACACCGAGTAAGACGGTTGGTTTCCAGAGTGTCGACCATTTTTGTGAATTCGATGAAATCGAAGCGCCAAATGCTCCGAAACAATCGAGGGTTCTACGGTCAAGATTGACTGCCAAGAAATTGTCCGACATTTCAGTTGCCCTGTTTGCTTCTTCTGGCGACGAGGAGAGCTGCTGGCCTAGGAGGGATTTATTCCTCGATATGGAGGAATGAGCAAGAATTTTGTATAGCATTGTTGTTGTTGTTGTTGTTGTGAAAAATCGTTGGGTATTTTTGTTGTACATGTTGAGACAATAGCGCCACATGCCAGTTTTTTCTTCAACACTCTTCATTGAAGACGAGTTGGCTTGTTCTGTATCTTTGTTTGTACATGTAGGGAGGAAGTAGGGGAGTGGTTGGTTATAGAAAGGATTCGAATTTGGGCTGTCATTCATTCAGTTCGTTGTGAATCCAAAGCGATTGTGTATGTATACGATATATGTTTCTGAGTTCTTGATTAAATTCAATAAAATGTTTTTCCTCGTGTATTTGTCTGTCTATTTACGATTCATCGATATGTTTAACTTCGTGTTTTAAAAGAGGAGGGATTTTCTTTTCCTTTTTTGGTGGGAGGAATTGAACTAAATTTATTACTTGCATTTTTTATATAGATTCTTGTTGTCTTTGTTGGTGAAATGTGTTTGAATGAGCTTACACATGGTGTCGCATAGTATAAATCGTTATTTAGAGATGATTATCTGTTATAAATTGGCATTAATTATTGTTTTATGGTGCAAAGTATTAATTTAAGGAAAGATGGCTGAAATTCTGGGTGCTTGTGGGGACTGTGTTTTTCAAAAATGGTTTTCCCGCTCTCTGTGTAGAATTCTAGAAACATTTCCTGGAGAGTTCTAATCCTAATCCCACTTGGGTCCAAACTCATATGGGCCGGGCCCATAGCAAGTGCGGGCCTTGATCCAGAAAGATGAACTTATCGTAATAAATTAAGATATTTAAATAAATATATAAATAATAATCTTTTTAATATTTTGTATTTCATTTAAATTTTAAATTGTATCGCTCGCAGGCACGCTCACTGAAATGAAAACGGCGTCGGTTAAACGCGATTCGCCATTCATCAGTGATGAAAATCCCCAATTCAAGAAGGTGAGAGTTACTGAATGGGATTCCTCTCAATCCCCTTCAATTAAATTTATCCTTCTTCTTTTTTTCGAATTTTTTGATTTTATTTGTTACATCATGAACAACCACGCAACTTTTGATTGTTGATGTTATGGGTATTGTTCGTCTCTGTAGAACTGAATCACTTGGTAATTTCGTAATATTAGTGAATACGTGTTCAAGCTAAATTCTTCCAATTGTGTGTTGATGTTATATGTTAATGTGGTGATTTAATATTTCCTTAAATTCCTGATTAGTAATCTCGGCCATTGTCCTCTTTCTAGCAGCGGTGAATCAGATTCTAAGTTATATTCCCACCTGCGAGTACCGAAATCCGAATGCTTACGCTTCGTAAAGCTCCCACCTTTACTACCGGCACCACCATCTTCAATTTCATCAAAACTCTAACCACCGCCACCAATTTCATCCAAGGCAGTGGCGGCACCACCACCACCACTGCCAGAGGCTTACCCAATGACGACTACTTCGCCACGATCCACCATATATCCAACATCGTCCGGCGAGACATATACTTGGAGAGAACTCTCAACAAGATGCGAATATCCAACATCGTCAATTCCGAGCTGGTTTACCGTGTTCTCCGAAGTTGTTGCAGTTGCGGAATCGAATCTTTCCGGTTCTTCAACTGGGCCCGGACCCACCACCCTAATTATGACCCCACCACTCTCGAATTCGAAGAGCTCCTACGAATCTTGGCCAAAACCCGCCATTGGGAGACCATGTGGAAGGTGGCTCAGAGTATGAAAACTCAGAACTTTCCTATCTCTCCATCCGTTGTGTCTTTCATTATCGAACAATATGCTAAGCATGGACTCATCGATCAAGCGGTTGACTTATTTAATGGGCTCAAGAACTTCGATTGTCCGCAGACAACCGAAGTGTACAATTCCTTGCTTTTTGCTCTGTGTGAAGTTAAGAACTTTCAGGGTGCTTACGCTTTGATACGGAGAATGATCAGAAAAGGGAGCGTTCCCGACAAAAAGACGTACTCCGTTCTTGTTAATGCGTGGTGCTCTGCGGGTAAGATGAGAGAGGCCCAAGAGTTCTTGGAGGAGATGAGTAAAAAGGGGTACAAACCCCCCGTGCGTGGTCGTGATTTACTTATTGACGGCTTGTTAAACGCCGGTTATCTCGAGTCGGCTAAAGGGTTGGTTAGAAAAATGTCGAAGGGTGGTTATGTGCCAGATGTGAGCACTTTTAATTGTTTGGCCGAAGCGCTATCTAAATCCGGTGAAATCGACTTCTGCATTGATCTTTTTAACGATGTCTGTGGATTGGGGTTTTGTCCAGACACAGACACGTACAAGATTATGATAACTGTGACTTCGAAAATCGGGAGAGTTGACGAGGGTTTTAAGATACTGCACAGGTCGATTGAAGATGGGCATAAGCCGTTTCCGAGTTTGTACGCTCCGATTTTGAAAGCTCTCTGTCGGAGGGGGCAATTTGATGACGCGTTCAGTTTTTTTGCTGATATGAAGGTGAAGGGGCACCCACCGAACAGGCCTGTTTATACTATGCTGATTAGGATGTGTGTTCGTGGGGGTAGATGTGTCGAGGCAGGCAATTATTTGATGGAGATGACAGAGTTGAATTTGTCACCAATGTCGCAGAGTTTCGATATGGTGTGTGATGGATTGAAGAACTGTGGGAAGCATGATTTGGCCAAGAGAATGGAGCAGTTGGAGATTTCGCTTCGCGGTATTTGATTCTTGAATTCCGTTTGCTGATATTTAACGGTACACCGTTATAATGGGGTTAAATTCGTCAAAGGGTTTGTTTTTAGTTTCGGATTCGGATTTCTATTGAGAAAGTTGTGGTGAGTTTGATTGGTTTGGAGATGGGATTGGGACCAGAGGCATGTGATTTTATTTCGTCTCAGGAAAAAGTTATTTGTTGCTTAGATCACAAATTTAGCTTTTGAAACCGATAGTTCTATTATACACGATTTTAAAAAAAATCTTTATATAGATTTGAGAACCCATGACCTTATGCTCGCTCCGTTAATATTAAGCTTGATAGATAGATAGGTATGTGCACACATGAATGCGTGTAATTTCGGGTCATCCATCGAGTAATTTTGCACTATAAATGAATACACACAATCACGCATACATAAGTATGTTGAGATATTATTCGGTGAACCGACGGCCGAGATTCGTTGTCTGCCACAAATAATACGGACCATATCTTCTACCCACTCCCATTCTTGGAAAGCTTTAGATCAAGAATTTGCCTTTGTGGTAAGGGGAAAAAAAAAAAGCTAGCAGACCCCAATTGCACATTGTCCCCTTTTTCTCATATGAAATTGATATTTGAGAAACAAATGCTTTTATTACATTTGACAAGTAAGAATGCCAGCTTTTAATATCTCTGAAGATTTGTCCCTGAAATTAATCTTTCTGACATAGGGTAGTGGCACTGTTCTAACAAGAAGACGGTGGTGGACGTTGACTGTGGCTGTCAAGTTTGACTTTGACAGTTCAAATCTCAGATGATTTAGTTTTTATGTAAAAAGGAAAAATATTAAAATAATGTTGAGTTCTATTTATAGTACCGAAAAAAGAGGCCCCCCAAAGTTTTGATGAGGCAATCGAAGTTTTCGAAGGGCGCTTCTTTCTTCTTTTGGCCCAGAATTTGCATTCTTACTAGTAAAATAATACCCTTTTTCTAATGTTAATGCATTATGCATGTGGTGTGTCACCACCACATCTACATTATGTTTATATTCATATCTATAATTTAATTGACTTTCTCTACTTTTCAAAGAAGAAATCAGCATTGTTTTCCACAAAGTTATGGCTACGTTACGTTGGAAATCAAACTAAGCTATTTAATTTGAGTTTACTTTTGTAAACATAACTAACCTGATTTTTTGAACATATGTTTTTGTTCGATAAGTTGTGAAGTTTAGCTCGGTTTGTGCTCGTGATCAATTAGAAAGGATGTGTAGGATAAAATCAACTTGATTCTTGTTTGACTTGATTAGAATCCGTTTGATGGGGATTGATTCCGTTCCGTATTCTCTCATACGATTCAAAGGGAGTAGAATTCGGAGTAAGTTTTTGAGACTGTAGATTTATACCATCATCGCTGTAATTTGATTAGACTACTTATCATGCCAAATTGAAGCACCACTTTTGAAAGTTGGATAAAAAGAATAATTAATTTGAATAAAGATGCGTTCGACTCTGACTCGATTCGATTCGTTCACCCCTAAACAAAGTTAGTTAATTTTAAGACGACTCACAATTAAGTTAGCTAAGTTTGAAATGAAAAAGCAATAAATATTGGTGCATGGGATTTACAAAAAATACAGTGCATGCTATGTACATATTCACTGTCTCCCATGTCATATATACATCTCACTGCCCAATAAATTCATTCTCTCATTCTTCAAAAAAAAATAAAAAATCATTCTCTCTCATTTATAAATTACCAATTTTTTGTCACTAATTTTCCATCCCTGAAAATAATTAAAAAAAATAAAAATTCAGTAGCTAAAAATCATGAGTTTTGTTGATGAAGAAACAATAGTAGACTCTCTCTCTAAAGATTCTCTGTTTTCAGCAATTATCACTCTCTACACAATCCTGCTCATCTACTCCCCTTCTCTTCTTCTCCGATTTTTTTTCTCCCCCGTTTTTTTTTCCACCTTGATTCTGCTGCTTTACCTTCTCAGATTGGGCGCCGTTCAGAATTCCGCGCCTGCACCGATTGGATCCGATTCCGGCGACTCTTTGCCGCTGCACAATTGGGCATCTAATCACAACCCGCACCGATTTTATGAGGAATCGTTCGTCGAATGGGACGTCAGAGCGCCGCTAGAGGTTATATATGAGGAATACGGCGAGGGCGAAGATGCTCGCGAAAACGACGCCGTTTCCGAGGCTAAGAAGAAATCGGATATGAATATTATCCAGAGATATGCTTCCTTGTCGTTGTATTACCCGGAATCCGACAGCGATTGTTCGTCCGATGGTGATTCCCCGACCGACGGAGGCTGGGATGAAGACGATAGAGAGGGTTTGATAGAGATTGCGTTGGATGGGAAGAGGAACGGCGAGGTCGATGAAGAGAATTTGATTGAGATTGATCTTTTTCCGGCGAGATGACGTGGAATTCCGGTACAGTTTTATCTCAATTTTATATTTTTTTTTGTAAATTCAAACTATAATTAATTACTAAAAGGAGAGACTTTTTTCTGAGGTTCTGGGTTTTAGCAACTGATTATTTAAAATCATAAGTTTATCAAAGTGATTTTGATTACTAATTCCAAAGATAATTTATTTAATTAGTTGATATTAATTTAATTATTTTTGGAGTGTGCTTAAAAATGAAATTACCAAATTGACCCCACCAAAACCGTTGGATATCGATTTAGAAGAAAAAAGGTTGTGATTTAGGTAAGTGGAGAGTGGATGAATGAATGTATGTAGAGAGTAGTGAAAGGGATATGACAATAAAAAAGTTGGGAAAAAGAATGTTGAACTGAACCCACTACCACTGCTGCTGGTTTCTTCACCCACTTGTGCAATTCATTATTGATGCCCAAAATGGTTGGTCAATGTATATAAATATCATTCCCAACTTATTCCTTTTTTTTTTTTTTTTTTTTGTAATAAATGTATTAAGCTTGGTTGGGTAGTCTCAAGTTGCATACAAGTCCAATTAATTGATCTTTGTGTATTGTGTTAAAATTCAGCTAATACACTTAGGCATTGTTTGGTTGACAAAATAAGATTAACCAAAATAAGACTAGATAATTTAATGAAATCCAATTGTTTTATTGGAAGGTCCAACAAAAAACAGGCTTAAAAGGCCAGATAAGACATGATAATATAATATTTGCGGGTCGACCTCATAAGTTATTGGGATACCAAACATCGAACCAAGTCCAACTATTTAGTTAATCATGGGTAATCTCCCTAACCAAACGGAGCCTTTTAAGACAAAATCAAATGAAAACACAACAGATATTCTCTTATTCCATCAACTAGTAACTCACCCGTGCGATGTACATAGATTTATTCAAAAAATAAAAATTAGTTAATGTAGAAAACCAACGAACAAAAAATATGTCGAGGATGTAAAGAATACAATTGAAAAAAAATCATATCTTAATTTATCAATAAAAAGTTTGAATAAAAAATAAATTGACAATGTTCTAAACATCATCCACGTTGAAATGTAGCCAATAACTCCGAGACTGAAATCAAAGCAATGCACCAGTCTTGCATATGAATCTGAATATTGTTAAAGAAGACCACGAAACTACAATAAGATCTACAATAAGAGGACGAATAATCTGTTATTTTTCATCATTTTCAATATATAAGTTGAAGACATTACGTAGATAAAGAATACTAATATATATGTTAGCATATAAAAAAAAATACTCGATTATTCGAATGGAAATATATTACATGGTGCAAATAAAATTGAACATACATAGATTCGCATTGAAATATTAAAAAATTATTAACATGTTATCGATAAATGATGTTTGTCAATGTGTATCTATATATTCTTTCGAATACTTCTTTGTACACGCGTTGCTAGTAACACTGGGCAACTCATCGGATTCGCCATTGATTAAAATCTTTATGCCAAATCTACTCTTCACACGAGACAACGCTATGTTATATATATATATATATATATATATATATATATATATATATATATATTAAAATAGAGATAGTTGAATATATCATCTAATGACTAATTCGTACGAAAATGTTATCTCTTGCAAAAAATAATATTATATAGTTTTCAGAAAAAAACAATAATATTATACCTAGAAAATATTTTATTAATTGTACATTATTGTATTTTATTAATATATTATTATATTTTATAAAATGAATTGATTAAATAATAAAAGTATTAATATATTGTATTTTAAACAAATATAATTTATTGAATGCATATTCTGAAAATCTATAATTAAGAAAATTAAAAAAATGAATTTTATTATTAAAATTAGTCGACTATTACAATGAAAAAAAATCCTAAAATTTATTTGAATATTCAAAAAAAATGGACATTCAAACAAATATATTTGGAAAATTAAAAGTATAAATTAGATAAATATTTTTCGAATTTATATGTAGATTAAATGCATTAAAGAATATATGAATATGTGGTAATGTTTAGATGATTGTGCAAATATTAAATAGGAAATAACTTAAACACATATCAAAAATGAAAAGCCAACTAATCAATTAGAGATGTCATATAATCAATTGAACTCCAACTAAGCAATTTGGATGTATGACATCAACATTTGCCACATGTCAATCATTGATGACATAGATCCTCTTTTTATATAATATATAGATTGATCATATACTAATGAGTACATACACATTTGTGATTATTATATATACGCTAATTACAACAATCCCCTGATATATGGTCAAATTACGAAAGAAAACCCCACTTGTTTGAATAATTATACCTACCCCTCAATTGTGAATTTTCTTACATCTCCACCCTTATGATGTCAAATTCAACATAATCATATAGATTATGTGGAATGTTATCTAATTTGTATTCGTTTTATGCAAAAATACAGTTTTTGATGCACCACAATCTGATATATACAAGCCAAAAAACACATCATATGACCATCTTGCTTCAAAATGTGGAGCTCGAATGAGGTAAAACGGTTATAAAATTGACAAGATTTCATATAATTTAGAAGATTCCACTAAATTTGAAACTGTAAGGGTGAACGTGTAAAAATATTTATAGTTGAGGGGTGATTGTAATTACCCAAACAGAAGGGAGTTTCGTGATTTAACCATACATCATTAATTTAACCTTATATATAAATATGTAAGTTGTACGTACTTGGCCAGCCAGATAAACTGATGAACCAGAGATTAGATTAATTAAGTGTTTTTTCTATGTTAAAAACAAGAGATTATATGATATATTATTCCGTGTAAATAGGCCTCAAGATGGGACTGGGTGAACCCCGTAGCATTTTGCCAACAGGGCCCAACACCACTTCAATATGGGCCATAGGCCCAACAAAAGAACGGGGGTCCGTTTGTGATTTTTTAATTTTTTTAATTTTTATTATTATTTTTGGGAAAATGATGTGTAAATTGAAAAGAAATGAAAAAGAAAGAAAGGAGAAATGGGAAGTGGACAAAAGGTGTACAGTGATTGGATAAGAATGGAGACATGGGGAGGAGAAAAAGGGATGATTGTTGGTAACATGGCCTCCTTCAGACAAACATTTTACGTGTCATTTCTCACTTCAAATCACCCACTTATATACATTTTATTTTTTAAAATTATTTTTTAATTTTTACCCTTTACTCATACAATTTTTTTTTTTTTTTTTAAATTATCAAACACTTTGAAAGAGCATATAAACTAATTTTAAACAACTTGTAAACTTAGCCGAATAAGCTCAATGTGTCTGATGCTAGCTTATTATCCCCTCATGTAATAAGAAAAAACCTTTTTTTAGTAAACCATATATAGCCCCCAGATGCAATTGGCAATAATTTTGTTCTGATACAGAAATAGTTGATAAAGGAATTCAAACTCAGATTCAAATAATATTGCATTATTATCTTGCTGAGTTGAGTACTTAGAACAGCTGAAGAAAGCTAATCAGCACGAGCCATTTTAAAAGAAAAAGTACAACGCTAATGTGAAATTCGTACATAAAAAAACAAAGGCATATGTTCTTGACAAGGATAGACATTGAACTATAATGTTTTTTAGTGTGTGAAAAGGATGTGATATATATGGATTAGGGAATGTGTCTCCTCTTGTTTTCTTCCACTGTTTGAGCTACACTATTTCCAAACTTTCCATTCCCTACATTATTAATGGAAAATTCTCACTTGATCCATCGTCTTATTTGTGTTAATTATTCTAACTATATATATATATATATATATATATATATATATATATATATATATATATATATATATATATATTGTGAGTCTGGTTTCAGTAGCAATTGTCCACGTGAGGAGGTTCGGGAATGGACGGCTCACAATCGAATATCGTGGGCACTTATGTGTGCTGAATGCACTATAAGACTAGAGTTTGCAATTTTCTTGACACCAATTGGTTTTAGGATATTGATATCGCCTCAAGTTCTACAAGTGATATCCGAACAAAATATTATACTATCGTCAATTTTTACAATGTTATAGTGTAAATGGCAAGACTTTTTTTTTTTTTTAATTAATAGATGAGTCTAGGTTTAAAGATGATTATCTAGATATAAGTTGAAATTATGCATCATAATTATAAAGTGAAAAGCATATCAGCACAGGATGAATCAATAATTACTATGCGCCAACAATTTTCATAATTACCAATTAAAGAACTTTCATAACTCTAAATCTTTTTTCTTAATTTGTCATAGTATTATATTTACCCAAATCAGCTCTGCAAATTGATTGAAGTTTGCTTTAATTAGCCTACTAATTAATTTCCCTTTTGTTTACACCAGAAGCAAAATGACTGAAGCCAAGTTTGAACTGCATTTTAGTTTTTTATATATATAAATTATACCAGCAGAAAAAGAAAATTAAATTACAGAGCTCTTGTCAATGTAAAAAATATTAGTTTTTAAATAATATAACAGCAAAAATTATTGTGACTACACATGAACAATCATAGTTAGTTTTAAACATTATCATCTAATATTTTATTGGCAATATATAATATCAAGTAATTAATAAATAATTTTCGTAGTGTCACATGATTGATCAGGGAACATGCCACCACTATTGTATTATTTATTCTATTTTTTTGGATTCATACATTTTGGCCAAAGAGTTTGTAAACTGATATTATTCTTTGATGTACTAATTAATTAATTAAATAATTAATTAGTCATGTAATAAATTAAGCATCTAACCATCTTCTTGTTCAAGACCCCACTTGTGGACTAAGTTGAAGCCTGCCAACCAGTTCTCATGCACTTGTTCTTTAATTTATTAATTTTTATTATTTTTTTTTTATGATGTCCCTCTAATCATAGCATATAATATATATAGTTTTTTTTTATTTTTTTGTTCTAGGTTTTAAATATGGTCCCGCTAGAAAGTTTTTTTAGAGCTATTATTTTACAAGCAAATATAATATATATATATATATATATATATATATATATATATATATATATATATATATATATATAAAACCAAGATCTATTAATAATTAATATTACTTAGTATGACTAATCATCCCATCTTTGATATCTAACATCAGCCTTTTACAAAATTTATTTCAGATCTAAAGCGACGATATATATTTACTATAGCATGATTCCTTTATAAGATGGAATCATGATAAAAAAAAAATCGATAAATTACCGAATTATTGAATCATTTTTATTGCAAAAAATAAGAAAGACTAATTAATTCTTGTATGTAATATGGATATATTTACACTTATATTTTCAGGCCATTTATTGATTTTGGTGAACACTCAACAAGTAGTTGATAACTAAACCAGTTAATTATATACTGTGTCGTTTCTTTTTAAGCGTGTCTTTAGCCAAAAAGAAATTCCAAATAAAACGCAAAAGAGTAGTTTTGATTTAATTAAAAAAACAAAACTATTTAATAATTTTCTTAATTAGTGTCCATTAATCATTGGTTGGCTTCCAAGCTCACCAAAATAAAGATAATTAAAGGCTAAATAATTATATATGAAGCACAGAAATAGGGTTTGTGTAGCATCTAATTATAGGGCTAACATGACATATTTGTTAATATGAAATGAAGCCAATGCATGTGACTAGATGGGGCTACGCCTCTATCCTTCAAAATATAACTAAATAAATATAGAAATCATTTACAAAATACCGAAATAAATAAAGATGACCTAAAGGGGTTAAATTGTAAAAAAGAAAAAACTTTTGGGGGCAGAGTGTAAATACAAAAGATTCCGGGGGTAAATTTTAAAGCTTTTTCAGGGAAGGTTGATCTGAAATATGATTGGAAGTTGGAACGGAGCGGGGGAGAAAAGAAGAGACAGATTAGCCGTTGACGGCAGAAACGCCGTTTAAGAAAAAAATCAAGACGCGGTTAAAAAAGTAACTGCGCTGTTTAATTTAACTGATGCTAATCAAGCAAGAGAAGGGGACCTAACATGGGGGGCCAGACCAATAGGATGAGAACACGTGTCAACAGGAGAGAGGGCTGTGCCCACCATCACCCCACGGTGGAGGTTAGGTGCTTCGCCTCCATTTTCTGTCAACTTCAGCAAAGTTGGAACTGTTTAATTATTAAAAAAAAATAAAAAAAGAAGCTTTACGTACATATATACACATATCTTATTCGTATATATACATCCTGCTTCTCTCTCTCTCTCTCTCTCTCTCTCTCATATAATTATTATAATGTATATATACGTACTGGGTTTATTATTAAAATAAGGAGAAAAAAAGTGATTCTTTTTGGTGCTCCTTTTATGCAGTAGTATTAACAGTAATAATTATTATTATTTTATTATTTGTTGTAATAAAATAAGCAAGTAGCTTTGTCTGAGCTTTTCTTTGGCTCTTCGGTTCATCCAAGCAAGCACTTCATCACACACAAACACACACACACACACACACACAGGTAAACCTTCCAAAGTTCTTTCTTTCTTTCTTTCCCTTTTCTATTTTTCACTGCTTTCTATTTTTAGATTTGTCATTTCGTTCTTTAATTCAATCTGTATTACCCAAATATTCATGTTGTTATATATATATTTGCTAACCGGGTAAGTTTTCCGGATCTAAAGAGCTTCTGGGCTTGCCGGATCTCTGTTTTAATTTCCTTTTTATTTTTTATTTATTTATTTATTTCTTGGTTCTTGATTTGAGCTGTTTATTGTGGGAATATTGTCATTAACATTTTTCTTTTCGGACATAAATTTCAATTTTTAAGGACAAGGGTGTCTGCGATTATTGCTTTAAGGTACAAGGGAGCTAACAATAACAAGATTGATTTTTTTTGTATTAATGGGAATTATTTATTCATCATTTATTCAGACTATGATTTTCTGAACTGCTCTAGTTATTTCAGTTTACTACTTCCCTTTTTTGTTATAAGGAAATCTGTCAAAATCTTTTTTTAATCAAGACTGCTAATTTATGTGAACTTGTTCCTAATTTTATCGATTAAGAGTTAACCTTTTCTTGATTGCATCACATTTATATATATAATGTCAAGATTCCTAACCTATATGCCCATTTAAGACTTTAAATCAGTTCTGATTTCTGAATTTGCAGCTTATGTGGGGTTTGTAATATTTCCTAGCCCCGAATCGAGCCACCTTAACAAGACTCGATGGATCATCCATCCGAAGATTCACCGTCGAGCTCGGACAAATCGCTCGGGCCCACAAATCACCCTCAATTGCCGTTCCCAGATGAAGTATTAGAGAAAGTCCTTTCATTCGTAAATTCGCACAAAGATAGAAGCTCGGTATCACTCGTACGCAAAGATTGGTACAATGCCGAAAGATGGACAAGGTCGAAGCTTTTCATCGGGAACTGCTATTCGGTTTCGCCGGAAATCGTAGCTAGAAGATTTCCGAGAATTAAGAGCGTCACACTTAAAGGGAAGCCGAGATTTTCCGACTTTAATATGTTGCCGCGAGATTGGGGTGCTAACGTGCACCCTTGGCTGGTCATGTTTGCAAAGGTGTACCCTTTTCTTGAGGAGCTGCGTCTGAAGAGAATGACTGTCACCGACGAAAGCTTGGAGCTCTTGGCTAAGTCTTTTTCGGGTTTCAAGGCTTTATCTTTGTCGAGCTGTGACGGATTTACCGAAAACGGGCTCAAAGCATTGGCTAGTCATTGCAGGCAATCTCTTGTTTTTTTTATCTTCTATTGAGTTAAATTTTTGTTAGATTCTAGGTTTTGTTGAAAAGGTCAACTGTTGTTTCGGTTGTTACATATCTGATTCTTGTTTGATTTATAGGTTACTGTGTTCGATTTCTTTTCTTAACGAGATCATTAATTGTTTATATATATATGGGTTGTAGGAACTTGACAGAACTGGATATACAAGACAGTATATCCGAGGATGTCGGTGGAGGTTGGCTAAGTTCGTTCCCGGAAAACTTCTCGTCGCTCGAAGTACTAAACTTCGCCAGTCTCAACAGTGACATCAGCTTCGATGACCTGGAAAGACTCGTCAGCAGGTGCAAATCTTTAAGGGTTTTGAAAGTCAACGAGACCATCTCATTGGACCAATTGCAGCGCTTGCTCGTGCACGCTCCTCTGTTGACCGAACTCGGCACCGGCTCCTTCATGCAAGAACTCACGCCACGTCAGTACGAAGAAGTCGAGACTGCGTTTAGTAACTGCAAGAATCTAGAAGCTCTTTCGGGTTTGTGGGATGCGAATTCACTTTATCTCCCTCTACTTTACGGAGCTTGTGCTGGTCTTACTTTCTTGAACTTGAGTGATGCTCCCCTCCAAAGCGGCGATTTTGCGAACCTTCTTGTTCACTGCCCTAATTTGCGGCGCCTTTGGGTAAGCATTTTGGTGCTTTCTTTGTTTTTTAAACTGAAATGCTAAATGTCGTTTTAGTTTTATCGGTACCGTAAATCCAAGATTATGCGTAACTTTTTCGTCCAACCATCAATATAGCTGATTCAAAGTTGGATTAGAAAGTCGATTCAAAAGGCTACAACTCTGATCTTTTGAGTTTTCCGCAATTCGAACTATAAGATTGTCAAAATCACGTTTTGAAGTAGACTTAGTTGGTGTTTGCAAAAGCTTTTGAAAAGTGATTCTGAGCTTTTTGGGTTCAGAATCGCTTTTGAAGTATTTGCAGTTCCATTATTTGCTTCTACTTCTCCATAAATAAGCTGATTTAAGCTCAAATACAAAAAGCACCCCTAGGACCAGCTTTTTTTTAAATAAGTTGCTCGAAATTGATTTTTCATGGAGTTTGCAATCACCCCCAACTTTTGGAAATAAGCACTTGTCATTAACCTAACTCATAATCACCAACTCCTGCTTTTTAAAAAACTTTTGCAAACACCACCTTATTTGTGTGTTTAGAGCAGTGTCATTCATTCATGCACAACTCTTTCACCAAACATTCAGTTTACCCGATTCAAGTTGGATTAGAAAGCAAACTCAAAGGACTACAAATTCAAACGGTCAAAATCACATTTTGCAGTTGGAACGGTATAAGTAAAAAACCGGAACGACATTTATAACCTCCCCTATGTAAACTAGTTCTTGTAATGTATATGCATATAGGTCATAGATACAGTCGAAGACAAAGGGCTGGAGGCAGTCGGATCCAGCTGTCCCCTTCTAGAAGAACTCCGAGTCTTCCCCGCCGACCCTTACGACCGCCACCACCGCGATGGCGTGTCGGAATCGGGTTTCTTGGCGGTTTCTCATGGATGCCCGAAGCTCCACTACGTACTCTACTTCTGCCGGAGAATGACCAACGCCGCTGTAATAACCATAGTGAAAAACTGCCCCGATTTCACGCACTTCCGTCTCTGCATAATGACACCTGGCCAGCCAGATCACCTCACAAACGAGCCAATGGACGAAGCCTTTGGAGCCGTGGCTAAAACCTGCACGAAACTTAAACGCCTCTCTGTTTCGGGGCTTTTAACGGATGTGTCGTTCGAGTATATCGGGAAATACGCCAAGAATCTTGAAACCCTATCGGTGGCTTTTGCGGGGAGCAGTGATTGGGGGATGCAGAGTGTTCTAGAAGGTTGCCCTAAGCTGAGGAAGCTCGAGATTAGGGATTGCCCGTTCGGGAACACTGCTCTTCTCTCGGGTAAGCTGAAGTATGAAACGATGAGGTCATTGTGGATGTCGGCGTGTAATGTGACTATGAAGGGGTGTGGGATTCTTGCAAGGGAGATGCCGAGGTTGAACGTTGAGGTTATTAATGATGAGGGTAGCGACGGGAGTCAAGCGGATAAGGTTTATGTCTATCGAACTGTGGCGGGGCCCAGGCGGGATGCTCCGGGTTTTGTTCTCACGCTTTGAGGGTGCGTGGTAATAGCAAACTACTGCTGGTCGGTGCTTTTCTACCGTTCGGTTAATCAATCCATGTTAATGATTTTTTATTTGATGTGCTAATGCAGGAAGGTTAAGTAACACGGAATACGAATTTGGTTGCGGAAAAAAAAGCAAAACTTTGTTCTAAGGGATCGAACAAATTGAAGAATGGAAAGAACGGAGCAATAAATAAAAGAAAGAGGTGAGTGTGTGTGTATGTATGTTTATGACCATGAAAGCGAGCCTCTTTCAAATCGATGAAGTTATTTTCTTTATGCAATTCGTCGGAAATGCGTAGAGAAAATGGCTGGAGGGGAACATATATTTGTGTATATGAAGACCATTTCTTGCAAAGAGAAGATTTCTCCCAATTGATTTTTTTTTTTTTGTTTTGGTTTCATGCTGTATTGTTTAGTTGCTTAAAATCTGTAGAACTTCTTGTATCAGCAGAACAATTTTAGGAGTGCTGAGGTGGCAAGATTCTGGATAATGGGAATATGTTGTTTATTTAGTTAGTTTACATGTTCCTGTAATGTTATTTGATGTCCTTATTGATGGTGAGATGATGATCAAATAATTAAAAAAAACTGTGTCAGCTAGCTGCAATTTCTCGGATTTCTAATGTTTGTTAATCGAGAATTCGAACATGCATGCGCGTTACCTTATTTAACTTTATCCAATATTAAACACAAGCAAAATATAGCATTTAAGACCGATTCTTTGACTGAGAGATCTCGCCGGCGAAGTCAAGCTAGGATGCTTTGACGGAGAGATCTCGCCGGATGGGTGAAGGCGGAACTGGTGGAGTCTTGACAGATACATACATTTTTGTTGTTTGGAGTGAAAATTAGATTTTGGTGAAATCTGAGGACCCATCTCTAACACACTACTTAGAAAACAACATTTTAATTTTTAATAGGCCCCTCCCTGTACAACTTCTTAACGGCCCAAAATTCATGAGCCCAGTACAGCGTATCTGGGCCCACCCCAACAGCGTTTAGAAATCGGAAAATAGAAAATTAAATTAAAAACTGTCCGCGTAAAAAAAAAAGGAAAATATAAAAATAACGCCGTCTGTGGGAATCGAACCCACGACCACATGGTTAAAAGCCATGCGCTCTACCAGCTGAGCTAAGACGGCTATTTGACATTAATTAGTTGATAGAGTTACTTATCTCTCATAAATTGACTATTTGTTTATTAATCATTTCCTTTATTCTTTTCCTCTCTACCTCACACAAATTCATTCCGTATTCCAGTGGGAGAAACAACCCTAGGAAAAAAGATCAGAAAACCATCAAATCAATAATCAGCCAATCATACCTCCATTGACCCGACCCAAGATGCTGAGATTAGCTGGGAGGAGGCTGTCGTCTCTCTCGTGGCAGTCTGGCCACGCTTCGTCGGCCGCATTCGCCTCCAGAAACCCATTCGCCGCCGTTGATCCATCCTCAGATGGACGCACCGTATCCATCTCTTCATCCGCTCACTCATTCTCCTTCATCCCCGATCAAATCCGAGGTTCGATTCTTTCTTTTATTTCTTTATTTTTTGTTTCTTATTTTTAATTCTTGTAAGCTTTTAGGGTGCTGGTGGTGGGTTGGGTTCATATCTACTGCTTTTGTTTATGTTTCCATTTGATCGCACGATTTTGGGCCTATCCCTGTTTTAATGATCTGGATTGCTCATGAAACTAAAAGTTTAAATTTATGGAAAAAAATGATTTTTATTTTTTGAATTTTAATGTGGTCCTCACTTGCAAATGATGTGTGTTTTCATCTCGAATCTGATATTACCTTCAATCGATTCTCTTTTATTTTATGTTTTGATTGAATTGTTCTCAACCTTATGGATTTGTTATATGACATTCAACTCAAAATTGGGAACGAGTTCTAACTGTTGTTCTCTCTTTCTTGATGCATTTTGGAACGTTTGTGCCATTTGTTTTCGTTGGCATTATTCATTTTCTAAAGCTTCTTGATGGAAATAGCGGATGCGATCCGTTTTTGGTACAATCAGTTGTATAACGGTTGTTAGTACTACTGCCTTTCTTATTATAATCATTCCTTAGGGAAATGTGGATGATTATATCGTAGATGGTAGAAGAATAAGACTGTATTACAAGCTCGAGTCTCTCAATATGTGAGGAGTGCTCGTATGTAATTGCTTGACATGTGGATGAAATGTTTATTTCACAGAAATCTCATAACATCAATAAACTGAATAAACTGATATATATATATATATATATATATATATATATATATATATATATATATATATATATATATATATTAAGGGTTTTATAACTTACATATGAACATCTCCTTTTCAATTCATTGCTTGTGAAATTCTGCAACTTCCCTTGACATACATAACCAGCCTTCTAGAGAGCTAGGTTGAACATGATATTTGATAAGTGCTCGACGTTTATGTTTTTACCACATTGTCTTGTGAGAATCCTCTTTTTTTTTCCAAATTGTTAATTAGCAACTATTCACGATCCTTCACATATCAACGAATCTGATCTGCACATTTATCTTCTCCACACGCTTAGCTGGTGTCCTGCAGTAGATACAAGAAATGACCGATAAGCTCTGTTTAGCGGTTCAATTCAACTAAACAATGTAGGCAGCTAAGCTAATACAGGTTCAATAGTACATCATCTGTTGGCGAACTTTTTGTAGGGTTTTCCTCCGAAGCTCTGGCTCAAGCACAGGGAATCGACCTGATTCCAGGTATCCCGGCCACAGTTACAGCAATCAAGAATCCCACTTCAAAGATCACATACGACGAGCACAACCACGAGCGGTACCCTCCAGGCGACCCGAGCAAACGTGCATTTGCCTACTTCGTTCTGACAGGTGGCAGATTTGTCTACGCATCATTGGCCCGTCTCCTAGTACTCAAGTTTGTTCTGAGCATGTCTGCCAGTAAAGACGTTCTTGCCCTCGCCTCCCTCGAGGTGGATCTTTCCAGCATCGAACCTGGGACAACTGTGACCGTGAAGTGGCGTGGGAAGCCGGTTTTCATCAGGCGTAGAACCGAAGATGACATCAAATTGGCCAATAGCGTCGATGTTGCTTCTCTTCGCGACCCTCAAGAAGATGCTGTGAGGGTTAAAAATCCAGAGTGGCTTGTGGTTGTTGGGGTTTGCACGCACCTGGGGTGTATTCCTTTGCCGAATGCCGGTGATTTTGGTGGTTGGTTTTGCCCGTGCCATGGGTCCCACTACGACATTTCCGGAAGGATCCGTAAAGGGCCTGCTCCGTTTAACCTGGAGGTTCCCACTTACACCTTCTTGGAGGAGAACAAGTTGATGATTGGTTGAGTAAGTTTAATTTGTTAGGGATTTTCTTTTTTTCATACGTCATCAAATCATGAGGAAGCCAGAAGAACTCTTTCGAGTTTTCAAGATTTTTCGTTGATTTTTTGTAATTTGTAATTCTTTTTGTGCTTTGAGGCCTTTTCCTTTTGATGCTTCATTAAACTTGGAAGAGCCCAGCAGTAATTCTGAAGGGGGCTCTTTATTATTCTTGAATAATGCCTGGCTACTTGTTCTTTCTTTTCCCTTTTAAAGGCTGGTTTTCATGTTTTGAGCTTTAGAAATAAAATTTAGTGTTGACGCATTTCGTTCGTAATGTGAGTGCTAAACTATGCAACCATGGTTTTATTTTCATGCCATTGAAACAGTTTAAAAATGGAAAATCGACATGACGATGTACAATTATCGATAATGCGTACAAAATCGAGAAGAAATTTTGTATGTTGTTGAAAATCCATCAGCAGTCCTCAATAGGAACTAACTCAAGTGTTCCTCCAAAGATATTTGCAAGTTGGCTCTCATCGATATCTTGAAGCAGTGTTTGCTGCAGTTTATCGTTCTCCACAAAATTAATCTGAACATTAATAACCATGAAAAATATAATTAGTGTAATAAGTAATGAAGGTTTGCCTGCGTAACACGAGAAAAAAAAAGGGCAAAAGACGGACCTTTTTCTTGGTCTTTTTGTCGATAAACGGATAAAGCATCTTCCACACAGTCATGAAAATGTAAGGCACATTGACGACGAACATCTTGCCTAGCCTCTCTGGATAGCAATCCTGTTGCCAAATCAACGTATCAGACTACCATAATATACGCATTTGTTTTATAAAAAAATATAGAAAAAGAAGTTTTACTTGCAATATCGATAGAGCTGCTAGAGATCCGTGCATGTCGTTGTTCGCGAAACCCCATCCATCAAGGTCCGCGATGAAAGTGAACTTCTCTTGTCCACTCGGCATTCTGAAGAATTGATATTAAATAAATAATCAAATAATCGCAAAGAATGAAGCTCAATGTGCAAAGGGAAGTAATTAATTACCTTGCGCAAACTTTGTCAAGAACGTAAGTAACAAAACCTGTTGGAAAACGATGAAACAAGAAGACAACATAAGAGGAAGAAGATTAAGAGGAAGGGCGTAAAAGTAAATAAATGTATATACATACGCTTAAACTCTGGCACGGGTGTGGGCTTACGCCGTGCTGCGAGCACAACTAGGATCGGGGATCCGGTTTTATCGTATCCTTGCATAAACAACTTATTCTGGGAAAGATCGTTACGTATTTCAGATGGCGATATACAACCATTTGGAACAAATTCTATTCTCCATTTTAGATACTTTATCAACATATCTGTCGCCTTTTCGACGTCTAAATCGCGCGCTCGTAAGAATCTACGCATCATCAAATCATCCACATCCTGCAATTCATTCCCAAATATACCATTTTATTTCATTAACTTATAGATAAAAATTAGACATACGAAATTTGAATCGAGAAACAATGCTCAATCTAATGTACGTTCCGTTAATAACGAAACATCATCGACAAAAAAAATAAAATAAAAAGCAGAGGAATGATGTTGACTATTTGGAGTTGACCTTGGCGGATGGATCTTGTTTTTCGATAAGAGACTTCATAATTATGAGTTTACTTTGCTCAAGCTCTTGTCTATTCTCTGAGTTAAGTTCCCCTTCTTTTACATCTTCAGGCTCCGACGAGAAAGATGTTAAGTACTGGAATTTCTGGCTCAGATATGAAGTCATCGTCTCTCTCTCTCTCTCTCTCTCTCTCTCTCTCTCTCTACTAGCAATGAAGAGAGAGAGAGAGAGAAATATATATTGTGTATATAGATAATTGTACCGGTTTTTGGTGGGACTCCCTGTTTTATTCCTTCATTTGGACTTCCATTTTCCATTCTGCCTCAAAACTCCATCGTTGAATACTTATTTCGTTTAAAAAAATAAAATTCAATCATGACTATCAAGAAGGGTAGTTTAGTCATTATATGAATTTTCAAATTCATTTAGACATCATACATGCATGTGCACCAATATAATCAAGAAGACACTTCAATTATTAATTCTGCAATTGACCTATAGGGATATCAATTATTTATTAGGGTTAGCATATACATACATACATACATACATACATACATACATAGATACATACATACATACATATTTATTTATATGAATACAACAAGAAATTCATGAGAATGTAGCTAGATAATCGATTCAAAATTGACTAACTCATTTATTATTAACAAACCCTAGATGATCTACATAATAAGCTGTTCAAGTTTAGCTTCGAGCAACCTTTGCTTGTTAACCCTAGAAATGAAATCTTCAACCCTTTTGTCCAGCTCCTCTTTAGGTATTATACTTTCTCTCTCCTCCATTTTTTTCTCCATTTTCGCAATCTCGCTTTCACCCCATACTTCACTCTTGCTCACTCTCATCCCACCACTATTACTTTTCTTCTCTTTCTGATAATATTGCCTGCTTCTGCTAACCCTAATTTCTCTTTTCTTAATTATATTACCATGCTTTTTCTCTTCACACAACTTCACGCTCTGCATGCTGGCGTGTACTTCTTCCTCTGGATCCTCCTTGATTATAACAGCCTCGTCGTCCGAGCTGTTTAGCTTAAGACGGCTTCGATTTCTTCTAATGTACTCATCGTATACATCCGAAGCGGGAGACGAATAACGCGACGACGACAGCTTCGATTCTCCTATGAGGATGAAGATGATGAGATTCGCTACAACGAACAAGGATTTGGGATTGACGAAATCGGAAAAATCGGTGGTTTCGAGATAGAATAAAATCAGGTGCTTCATTGATGATGGGAACCAATTGAAGGGGTAGGAAAAGAATAAGCACGTGATTAAAGATGTGAGCGAGTAGAGAATCAAATTGTAGAGAAATTGAGCCCTCTTGTTATTTTTCTTCATTGCTTCAATCTTTTCTGCCTTCATTGAATAACCCTCCATTCAAATATAAGTATCGTTGTTTTTTTCTTTTTCTTTTTTTGTGTGTGTGTGTGTGTGAAGGAAAGTGTAATTGATTTTGGAAATGTACTTCTTAATGGCTTCACAAAAAATCAAGATAGTGGAATGGGAGTTTATATATACATTCATAAAGTTTATGTGTGTGTGTGCATGTGTGATATTTATTTTTGGTGGGATTCTACACAGGCTTCTTTATATTAGCTTTATTAAAAAGTTGATACCAAAGCCTAAACTTTTGTGAAAAGCACACATTTGAGAAAGCTATTGGGGGATGTATAGTATAAATTAAAAAAAAAAATTAGGTCTTTTGATTTGACCCCTCCTATTTGTTTTAGTTATATTAGGCATGTGGTTTTACAACTTTTGTTCCATGATTTCTTTGCCAAGAAGGAAGTGTTGAGATGTAGTATATGATTATTAATGGAGAGTGGGAATTATATTGTAACTGTAGAGAATAGTAGTAAGTGGAACCGGCGGTAGGGAAAAAAATAGTATTTTTATTATGGAGTGCGTTTCCTTGTGAGTTTCGCTCTGTCTGTCTTTTGAGTTTCGCCCCCAGATTATTCAAGTTAAGTAGGCGCACACGTGTGTTCAATCGATTGAACTGAATTTTTCTTTGAATAAAATAATAATTTGTTAAAGATGGAATTTAAACTATATTCTTGAAACCACATATTTCTAATGTAAAGTTATTGTGATGACATATCAAAATCTTGAAATCTTTGTACATGTGAAAGTTCTAGTTGGATTTTGTTCATTCGTTTCACTTTTTTTTTCTTTTCTTTATATATACAAGAAAAAAATGCATTGTCCCGTAAGGGATGTTCTAGTAGTAGCAGAAAGTGAGTTTCAGTCAATTAATTCAAGTTTGAATTCTCTTTTCAACGGTCGTTTGATCGAGTTCGTCACACATGATTACATCTAGTATGATTTACGTCTCTCACGTGATTTTTATATGATTATATAAGAGTGTATGTTTACAAAAACAAAAATATATGCAAATGTTATAAATATATTGATTTATAATTTCACATTTTGATTAATATATTTTGGTAAAAAGTGGCTTACGGTGAGAAAGACCCATTGGAGAGCTTTTTGGTGCTAAAAAGTATAAAACACCAAAGACTCGTATGAAATTGAAGATGAAGTTTCGAGGAAGGACCCAAACGCAATATTTAAGAATAGGTTATCACCTTTTTTTTATTTAAAAAAATAACACAAGTATAAATACTTAATGAAAATATAGAACTCAAAAAACTAGTATGCCAGGAAATTAGATAATATAATGTTAGGACGTGCCACATGAGCTTATCATTGTTGTTTCCATCTCAATTTTAAATTAATAATGCAATATTAATTATATCAAATGCTGATTGATGGGCCTGATAATAAATATTTAAAACCCATAAAATTAGCTGACTAGAGCCCGCATATAACAACACGTTTGAAACCCATTTAAGGTAAAAATAAGATTCCCCCGATTTTTTAACATTTGGGCCCGTTTTCAGTCAAACGGTAATTAATTACAATTATTACAGCGGCAAATTCCCATTATCACCGATATCCACACCATTTTGCGCGTGTAATTAATTACGTGGATACGCATTCACATCACCTGAATTCGGATGGTCAAAGGTTCATGTAATTTTCTATCTACTCGGATCTTGGACTCGGATCGTGGACTCGGACCTGCACACGTCACCCTGACACCAGCAGAATTTCAACAAATCTTCTCGGATAAAGACAAATGAGTATTAAGGAAAGTTTGACTGTTTGGGATTTATCCAACGTTGGATAATCCAGTTCCAATTAATTACCTAAATTGTGTTCACCACCACAAATCTTATCCATATTTTAATCCAATCATGTGAAAATTATTATAAATTCACATAATCCGTTTAATAAAAACAAGTAACTTAACATTACTGATTCTTGTAGGTATTAGTAAAATACATAATCCACTAGTACTTATTACTACTACCGTACACCATTATATATTGTTTATTATTATAAATCAATTTATATATATAAAGAATCTCGTAATCTCTCTCTATATATTCTTCTTCCCCTCTTCCATTCCTCTCTCAGTAAATTAAATTCTGTTTGTTCTTTTCATAGTTTCACTTTCTGTAAGAAATAAAAAAAAAAAAATGGCGGGTGGTGGTGGTTTCGGCCCAGGCCCCGGAACTGGGAAACAGTACCCCGGAAATCTGACGGCGTACGTCATGGTGACGTGTGTCATTGCGGCCATGGGTGGTTTGATTTTCGGCTACGACATCGGAATTTCTGGTAATATTATTATTATTATTATTTTTTTGTTTTGTTTTTGGGGAATTTATTTGATTTATTTATATCGGACATGCAGGTGGGGTGACGTCGATGGATTCGTTCCTGGAGAAATTCTTTCCGGCGGTGTACAAGAAGGAGAAAGCGGATGACTCGACGAACCAGTATTGTAAATTCGACAGTGTTACGCTGACTCTGTTTACATCGTCTTTGTATTTGGCGGCGCTTTTGTCGTCGATTGTGGCTTCGACGGTGACCAGAAAACTTGGGAGGAAACTGTCGATGCTGTTCGGCGGCGTTCTTTTCTGCGCCGGAGCTTTGATTAATGGTTTTGCTCTGAATGTTTTGATGCTTATTGTCGGCCGTATTCTCCTCGGTTTTGGTATTGGGTTCGCCAATCAGGTACTTGCTCAATCATTACTACTATGCATGAAAATTGAAATACAAATATTTATTTATTTTAATTATTTTCTCTGTTTTTTCTTTATTTATTAAAATTAACTAAGTGCCCCTTTTTCCAATTTTCTTGGAGAAATATTGACTTATGTGATTTAAATGATTTTTTTATTGGATTTTTTCTTTTGATAAAAATAATTATTTTTATTTGATTTAAATGATGAATAATATTTGAAGTAAATGTTTTGTTTTTTGAGGCTGATTATAGAAGATATCCATTATTGTAAAATCATGATTTAAATGATTTTACTCTCATCAATTTTAGTCCTGGGAATCAAAATCTTTTTTTTTTTTGGTACTGAATCAAATTCATTTATGATTAATTTTAATTTTTTTAATTACCAAAGTCGAGAAATTAAATTGAACATGAAAAAAAACTAATAAAAATAATATCCACGTGTACAGTCAGTGCCACTGTACCTGTCGGAAATGGCACCATACAAATACAGAGGAGCACTGAACATCGGATTCCAGCTCTCCGTAACATCCGGAATCCTCGCGGCCAATCTCCTAAACTACGGATTCGCCAAAATCAGCGGCGGATGGGGCTGGCGGCTGAGCCTCGGCGGCGCAATGGTCCCCGCCCTAATCATCTCCGTCGGCTCCCTACTCCTCCCCGAAACCCCAAACTCCCTAATCGAGCGCGGCAGACAAGACGAAGCCCGATCCAAACTCAAGCGAATCCGAGGCTTATCCAATGTCGACGAAGAGTTCTACGATTTGGTCGCCGCCTGCGAGGCCTCCATGAAAATCGAGCACCCGTGGCGGAACCTCCTCCGCCGGAAGTACCGCCCCCACCTCACCATGGCGATCGCGATCCCCTTCTTCCAGCAGTTCACCGGGATCAATGTCATCATGTTCTACGCGCCTGTACTTTTTAAGACGATAGGGTTTGGCGGTGAGGCATCGTTGATCTCTGCCGTCGTCACCGGCGGGGTCAATGTTTTGGCCACCGTTGTTTCTATTTATGGTGTTGATAAGTGGGGTAGAAGGTTCCTTTTTCTTGTTGGGGGTATCCAAATGCTCATATGCCAGGTATATTTTCTATATTTATTATTATATTTAAAATTCTGAAACTGATATAATTAGGGGTGGAAATTGAAACAAAAATTCCGATTTCCGTCGATCTGAAATTTTCTGATTTTTAAGCCATTTTTTATCCCGAATTTCAATTCCAATTTTTTTAACGATCAAAATTGGAGTATATGTGAAATTTCAATTTCCGATCCAATTTAAGTTTTTGAAGATAATTCCAAAACTGTCGACTTTTTTATACCAAAATTACAATTATAATATTAATATTATTATGCATTGCATATGTTAGGTGACTAAAACGTTTGAATTTTTGAATTAAATCGATTCTGATAAAAAAATCAATTTTGGAAATAGTTTTTTCATTATAATTTCTGAACTTGTCCTTTTTTTTTTCCAGGTTGTGGTTGCAATATGCATTGGACTGAAATTCGGCGTGGACGGAAACCCGGGGGCGTTGCCGGAGTGGTACGCGGTGGTGGTGGTTTTGTTTATATGTATATACGTGGCCGGATTTGCGTGTTCGTGGGGACCGCTGGGGTGGTTGGTGCCGAGCGAGATTTTTCCGTTGGAAATTCGATCGGCCGCGCAGAGTTTGAACGTTTCGGTGAACATGATTTTCACGTTTATAGTTGCGCAGGTTTTCTTGACAATGTTGTGCCGTTTGAAGTTCGGGCTGTTCTTGTTCTTCGCGTTCTTTGTGGTGGTGATGACTTTTTTTATATATTTTTTCTTGCCGGAGACGAAGAACATTCCGATTGAGGAGATGGTGGTTGTGTGGCAGAAGCACTGGTTCTGGTCGAGGTTCGTCGCTGAGGATGATCGGAATAATGGGTCGGTTGAGATGGATAATAATGGAGGAGATAAGAGCCGGAAAGTATGATTTATTAGTATGATGGTAAAAGTAAAAAAGGCTGGATAATTAGTATAATGTTTCGTTAATTATAAGTAAATTGTTGATGATTCTATTGAGAGATTTTCTTTATTTTAAATTTTTTTTTTTTTTTTTTTAATTGTTATGCAAATGGAAACTAAAAATTCTACATTTTTTGTTTAAATGCCTCGTGTTCATTGTGTTGATTTAAACATCACTTAAAATTCTCTTCTTAAAAAAAAAGAAATAATAAAATAAAATCACATCACATTAAATTCTAAAAATCAAAACTTAGTCTAATGGGGCGGTGAGCAAAATTGAAAGTGACCAGAAAATGGACATGTGAGAATTAATTAAGATTTGATGGAAATTGATCAAACCCTAGGGAATTTCTTACGTCAATGATTTATCTTTGTTTGTGGTCGGTGTAAGATATTAATCCAATTGATCGATTTGCAGATTGAAATATTTTTCAACTTTTGCTTTTCGTGGTAAAATTGATGGATTTTCAATTGCAATTACTATCAGTTGGCGTGGGACAACCGTTTCATGTGAATTAAAGGCAACCCACTAACTAAGACAAGGGTGGTCCAGTACTCAGACATCTATCAGGAATTTTGTCGAACAGTTATTGTGCATTCCACCTTGCACACCTGATTTCAAGCATTTTTTTTAAGGCCTTATTACATAAAATTGTCAGGCCCATATCTGCAGTTTCACAATAATCCTAGCACAATTGCACATGCTAATGTTTTCAGTTAGCCAACTCCAATACATACATGATTATATGTACCTCGTATATTATATATACACAATGTGCTACCAAAGAGTTTGAGTATTCTTGACCCACAGGAAATAGCCTTGGTGGTGTTCAATTCATCTGAAATATATTTATGTTCGCAGAGAAAACGAGTAACGAAAACAGAACAATGGAAAAGTAGTACATAATAAAACAGATATTAGCTTCTCTCTCTTTTTTTAAGCAACAAAATCACATATCTACACATGTGTATGGCGATAAAGCCAAACACATGATAGTACCTTAAGTTACAGATTGAACCGGCAACTGTTTACAGTTTTGCAACTTCGATTTGAAGATAGTCCGTCCTCTCACACACAATGCAATTTTTTCGGAAGAAACTCTCCACTCATACAGAATCTACCCCCTCCACCTGTTGTCGAGCTAGGTATCTTTCTCTTCTTTCTTTCTGCGTATACGAAATTGGGAGGAAGTGGATAAATTAATTTTTAATAAAAGAAGAAAAAAAAAACCGGCAGTGATGAACATTTTCAAATATATCATTTCAAAGTTAGATAGCTAGCTCACCCATTCGTCTATGACAAGTCCTTCTCCAACAAACTTTGGGCCTGTGTCTTCTGAAGGTTTCTTGCGAGCCTCAAGTTCAGCCTCAGCTTCAGCTAACTGGCGTTTTAGCTTCTCCAGAGCCTTTATACACATATATGCGTAAAGCATGTATGTATCAGCATTTTCAAATGAAAATTATTTATTTATGAATGAACGCAAGATGACAGAAACTGTACACTTACAGGACTAGGACGTTCAACATCCAGAAAGACTACCCGAAGTATCTGCTCGACAGCCACTTGATCCTTTTGCTCGTCAAACTGAGTCACAAAAAAACAAATATTGAAATTGAGTTCGTAAATTTCAATCCACACCACAAGAATTCTGGAGCCCATATAATATGTGTGGTTTTTACTGCTACTAGAATAGTTCAAAAGAATGGAACTACTGAATCTGATTATACTATGTTTGTAGCCAGTTTACAACTGAGCTTTTTCATCGAAAGCAATATTTTGTACATGACAGAGGAATGTGACAAACCAGTTCGGGTATGTAATCCATTGGTCCCTTCACTTTTAGGCTCATAATTTTGAACTTCACCCTGCTTTTCTGATCCATTGGCTTTTCATTGTTCTCCGGAGGCTCTACAAATTTAAATACTAATGGAAACATCCAAGACAAGAAAGAGTTATTATAATGGCTGAAATTTTGCCAACACAAAAAATAAAAGGTGCAAAAATATTAAAGCAAATAATTACCAGTTGCAATTATACTCTCGCCGGGAGTAAGAATGGCCCCCGGAGGACGCATAAAACAGCTCTTTGGTGCAGTTGTTTGGAACTAGAGCATAAAAAATACGCACCATTCAGAAGAAACAATAATAGTTGAAACCATAAATGGATCACTAGTTCTCTATCAGCTATAACGTAAAAATGAGCGGCAAGAGTAGAAAAACAATAAATGAAAAATTGATAAATGCTCGGCATACCTTGAATGCTACATGAGACTTGCTTGTATTTTTAATTTTGATAGCACTTCGGACTTGCTTGCCAGGCTCATCTGCAAGTAGTTAAACAAGAAAAAAGTAAGCTACTGCATGCATATAGAAGAAATCTGGATTCAGCCTATCAATTCTGTTATATAATGTGCATCATATGGAAAGCTACTTCTCATGACTATAAAGCAGTATCTGACCTAGTTTATTCACAACTATATAGCAACGATCGATCTCCTCACTGGAACATGAAAATTGTTGCACGAAAATATTTGTAGTTAACGAAAGAGATTACCCCCGATTTAGCTCCTTCTATTTAAAGACAATATACCGAAAACAAGAACACGAGATCTGTTATGCAGTATACCTTCCTATGCCACTAAACACTAACACCTATATCCAACTCCTAACTCAAGCAGGTTCGCATATTTTTCGACACTCATCTTTCGATCCAATTCAACCAACTATTAACACCATCGGAAGCAAGGAAAATATAGGAGAAGCAGCACTTTAAGCCAGAATTACTATAATTTTTTGGATTTTCTAGAGCATCTGTTTGTACCAAATATATATCACATCATAAGAAATAGAGAACTTAAAAAGGAAATAAAAACGAAAAAGGAAAAAGGAAAAGAAAATAAGATCTCAATTTCAAAATCATCCGTCAACAAAAAGTACTAATAACAAGATCAAGTTTAACTAATTTGGATAAAAGAGGAGCACAATAGAAGTTAAAAACACGCAATCAAAAGTCAACAGGAAGTCAAGTTAGAGGAATAAACCGTCCGTACATGGAAAATAAAGCTTATTAGAGGGATCAAGCTTCAAACGGCGGCGCGTGGGGAGCAGAGATCTGGCGACCGAAGAAACGGAGCTCCCAGTGTTGCCTTGAGCACCCGATCCGTCGGCCTGAGAATGAATATTATTGTTCCCATGGCCGTAATTCTCCTGATAATGGGCGAAATTTGATGAAGAAGAAGACGTCGCCGGCTGCGAATTCACGAACGGCAGCTTAAATAGCCCCCACACTTTGCCTTCCAATTTCTCCTCGGCGATTGCCATTGATTACTGTCCGTCGCCGGACCTCCAAAACGACGTCGCTCGGTGAGGAGTTTTTCAGTTTGGGGTTTTTTTTTCTGCTTTTGGAGAGAAGTGACTTTTGAAAAAGTTCCTTACTGGTGCTTTGTGCGCTGTACGCAAGGACTTGGAAAAAAAAATTTAACGGCCGATTTCCTTTTTCTTTCTTATAGCTGCGGGTCGTGGTGCCGGGTTTGAATTTTGAGATATGGTTTCAACCCAAATTAAAATAAATACGTCATGTACTTATAATATTCACAAAATTTTGAAATAAAATAATGAATGAAGAATTGAATGTATAAAACATTGCACCGAATTTTCGTTTCGAATTTTAAATCCGAGGCGGCGCTAAACCGCATTGACTTTCTTCACATGATTCTTCAATTTCAGTTTTAGACTTTTCGGAGTACTATAGAATTTCAAAAGTCACAGCATAAATATGGAAAAGTTTAATGCAATGGTACTATACAAATCTCGATAAATTAATTCTCATAATCTCATTTAAATAGTAAAAAAATTTGAACAAACTACAGTTAAATCTCTATAAATTAATACAGTCGGAAGACAAATTCTATTAATTTAGCAAATTATTAAATTATCGAGTTAATAATTTAATACGTTCTCACCGAATCGGGACCGAGAGAAACTATTATTTAAGTGAAGTTATTAATTTATCAAATATTAACTTGTAAAAGTTCTACCATGCCACAATTTATTTTGAATCTATAGGTGAACCAACCGTATTTAACTTATTAAATGTTTAAATTAATAAATTAAAAATTAAATTGTGTTATATTTGCAATCTTAAAATTCTAATCACAGTACACTATTTTTTATTACAACACAGAATTGAACATTTATTTTTCATGCATACAAATGTCAAGTCTCAAGTGTATCCTCATACTAAACACACTACACATCATCTAATTTGTTCAATCTGAGTATATATACACCTCAATTCATCAACAAAACAGAATAAATATAAACACATCATCTGTACTCAGCAAATTTATTCTTGTTGCAAAGCGTACATACATCCACATATATACTTCCCCATACAAAACAAAAGGAGCTCAAATATACACTAACCCAGAAAAAAAGAGGGAACAATATTTAACAGGAAATAAAAACTATATATATTATGTATATATTTACATATGAAATATAAAGGAAATGTCAATTAGGACCCCAACAGCTCAAGTACATGACTGTACGGAGGGACTCTTCAGCCTGTTTCAACTTATCAGCCTTCAATCCGGTGGACTCGATTGCAGCAGATAATTTCCTCGCCTGCCTAGAAGAAGAACTGTATGCGTATGAGTCCTTTAGCGTTTTGATGTTGGTATCACGTTTTGAAGCCGGGTCTTTTATCCCCTGCATCACCCTCATCCCCGCCTGGTACGCCACCCTACTCATGTGCGTACGTACAATCTTTACAGCACAAAGTATACCACTCTCTGCTCAATTTTTTCTTTTTTTCCGTTCAATTTGAAAGTACTGTTTATACGTACAGCTTTTTATACATTAGAAAGTTTGACAGGGGGGATGGATCTTGGAGATAGATATACATGCATGATAGGCGAAGAGAACCGGCTAACTGCTACAACCGGCTGCCGAACGTGAGATAATTTGGGGGAGGAAACCGCATCATGCGATAGGGTGAACGGCCACGTGGCCGTTTCAATTTCACGAGATATTTATGGTCGTTATAATTGAAATGGGGATTACTATCTATCTGCAGAGGTGTATTAATTACGATATATATGGTCCGATTGGGAATATATACATATGCCATATATATATGTGGGCTAATTAATGACGTTGAACTTATCCTGCCAAGTGTGATCATGTTTATCATATATATATATATATATATATATATACCAGAAACAAATATCCAGAGACTTCTATATATATGCTAGTAACTTATAGAAGCTCCCTCTTTTGATATTTATTATTACTCAATTTTTATTGTTGATATTTATTATCCGAACACAATCGTTCATGATTATACAAATATTTGCCTTTAGATTATTTTGTTAATCAAATTAAGATTAATATTGATTCCTAGGCCCAAAAAGTTAAGAAGCGGGCCTTGCCTTCAATCAAATGAAGCCCATAATGGCCGACGGCCCAATTTTGAAAGCCCAAACAATCCAAAAAAAAATCGGCGTGCACAAACAATCGTACTTCTCCGATTCAACATCCAAACCATCTGATCCCCAAAACCAACCGTTTGGTTCCCGCCATGGATGCCGTAATCCACTCAGCGGCCTTTCGATTCCCTGTACCTCATCCCCACCGCAGAATCCGTACATCTCTCCGACAATGTGTGCACTCAATCAGGTCTTCCGCCATTCTCACACACTCCCGAACATTTTCTCGCCAATTCTAAGGGTTTTCCTCGCTCGTGACTTCTTTTTTGTCGATTTTGCAGGTCAAGTATAACAAGCCTTCCTTTTCCTGAGAAGAAAGCCAAGTACTACGAGCATCTGCAAGCCGCTGTTGATGTTGTCGATCGAGCTTGCCGCCTCTGTGTTGATGTAAATTTCTTCTTCTCTTTCGTGTTCCAATTCATTTTCGTCCTCTGTATTTTTGTTGAGATTTATTGTTTCCGAAGATAGGTGCAAAGATCACTGCTTTCGAGTGATGGAAACATCGTTGAGAAATTGGATCAGACACCTGTCACCGTCGCAGATTTTGGAGTTCAAGCACTTGTTAGTCTGGGTAAAATTAGATGAACATTTCTCATTAGCGTTTCCGTTTATTGATTATTTACGATTTTAATGTTCTCCGATTTCATGGTCACTGGTCAGAGATGGGCAAACTATTTCCTTCAATTCCATTGGTGGCCGAGGAGGACTCGGCTTTCGTGCGTGAAAATAATCTCGTGGATGCTGTTTTTGAAGTGGTTACTGACAAATCATCCATCAATGATAAAGAACTAAGTCGAGATGGCGTTTTAATGGCAATTGATCGAGGGGGAAAAGATGCGTTTCTATTTGGCACTGAGCCAGCTACTTATTGGGTGAGCTTCATCAAAATTCAGTTTGAATTGTCTTTGAAGAGTCTATGTTTCTCACTAAGGGTCCGGATTTAAATCAAGGTTTTGCTAGATTTGCTGTCTACAGTATGTTGCTAAAGTGATCGAGAGTATTTAACTTCAATCTTTTTTGTTTTAGAAAATTCGTGGATGTATGTATTAAGGGTGGATATTGTGTTGTTATTTGGACATTGGTTCACAGTATATTACTGAACACTCCCCGGGAATGGTCTTAAAAATGTTATTTGCGTTTCGTGTTTTAGGCTTGTTTTCCTGAAACTTGGTTACTCATATCGTGGATTATATACAGATATTGGATCCAATTGATGGGACCCGAGGATTTGTTAAAGGACGTGGAGCTCTTTATGTGGTATGTTTTCTATACAAATTTATTTATTCTGTATAAACAAATGGATTGGATTGTTACCAGAAGATGACACTAAATGAACTGATAATAGGTTTCCTCGAGACATATTTGATGGGTATAAGTATTTTATTATGTTCGGGTATCTGTTGGCTTTGTCTTCTTATAGTATTGCAGTCGAGGTTTACGTGTTTAGGTCAAAATGGAACTTTTGTTATTTTAAGCATTATTGAATTTTCAGGTAGGTTTGGCGCTAGTAGTTGAAGGAGAGATTGTTTTGGGTGTTATGGGATGCCCGAACTGGCAATATGGGGATTCTGATATAGTTGTGGACGAGATCCAGGGAGGGGAAAATAATATGTCGAGATCAGGGATTATCATGATATCTCATGTCGGTTGTGGAACATGGAGAACAAGATTGCGGGATCCAGAAAGTAGTAATACTAAAACAGCTCGTGATTGGACCAGGTGCCTAGTTGATGGTTTTCATCAAGTTCATGAAGCACGTTTCTGCATCTCAGACAGTCAAACATGGGAGTCTTTGCCTCTGTCCACAAAATTTAGTGCAACCACCGACTCGAACCGTGTTGGGGAGAAACAGATCCTTCTTCTTCCTACTTGCTGTGGAAGGTTCATTTTAAGTCATGATACATTTACCTTCCGTTTCCTTACTGTATGCATATACCTTGAACTTCTAAACCTAACTTGAAATTCTCGGGGTATTGACATCCGGAAGTGAGTTGCATTATCCTACAATGTTACAATAACTGGATGAATGCGAATCTTCCTATCTATTTTCATCATCTTCGATTTTAATTGCCGTCCAAGACTCTAATGCTGTTTTTTGCTTCTGAAATCTTTGTCACTTGGTTTGCTAGCCAACTTGCCTACTTTTAAATCCTATAAATGAATTCAGAACATTATCGAACATCAATCGCCTCTTATTCGGGATATATATCGCATCAATCTGAAAGCCATACGTGAAACCCCATTTCCAATATTATATTTCCCAATCTCTTATGTTTGCGTTCTTTACAGTCTGTGCAAATATCTCATGGTGGCATCGGGAAGGGCAAGTGTTTTCATTCTTCGTGACAGGACTGAAAGGATTATCAAGGTGTGTTTTTAGTTATTTCTGGTTTTGGCCAAATTGCTGAAGCACAATTGAGTCCGCTAATTTATCGGACTAAAATATACTCAAAAATATAGGTATGGGATCATGCTGTTGGAGTCATATGTATTCACGAAGCTGGTGGAAAGGTACGTCTCCTACCGTTTTTCAACTATTATCTTTTTCATCCATCATATGCAAGGCAAGGGGGGGGGGGGGGGGGGGGGGGTACTTAGAATGTGTAATAAGATAGAAATTTCATGAACAGGTGAGTGACTGGGAAGGCAGTCAGCTTAACTTTGCTGTGGATGAAATCGAGCGAAGGGTCTTGTTTCCTTGTGGTGGTATTCTGGTTACAAATGATAGCTTACACGACCGGATCTTGGAGATAATTTCGTCCAGCTAGCTGATGATTCTTTTCTGTTATCTGTTATTTATTTATTTATTTTAAATTTTTGGTCACAATATTTAGGACCTGTTCCATTTGATGATCGATCTCTAAAAATGTGTATTATTTCAAGAATTTGTTGCTATTCTTTGGTGTCAATGACTATTGGCATCCACACTTCAAATATTCTTAAACTTACTTTGCGAGATGAAGTGAGAAAGGACAACAATAAGTCCATAATACATCGCAAGAGATTAGAGACGAACGTCTATTAATTTATTAATATTAATGTTAGCTGCTTACGTTAATTCCATATTATTTTTTTCATGGGAAGGATCTCGAATTTCTATTTATAGCCAGGTGTCGACGTCCCTTCTTATTTTATACAAAAATGTCTGATCTCATCAAATAATTAAAATATTCACCCAATCAATTTTCACTGCATTGCATGGGTGCAAACACTTCAAGTACGTTTTCTTTCCTCTTTATTTTTTAATAAATAATATAATGAAGATGAAATCATACACCAACCAGTATATAAAATTAAAATATGCATGAAATTGCTGAGAATGGTAAACCTGGGGCACCAGCCACAAATTCTACTGAATCTTGCAACCAAGTGTTGTATTTTATTAGATGTGTGTGTGTGTGTATGTGTGTGTATATATATATATATTATATTATATATATATATATATATCAAATTCGAAGGTTTGTTGGAGGAAACGAACAACTCATAGCAGAAACAAATAACATTTTTATCAGATCGATAATTAACTGATTTTTATTTTTATTTTAGCGAGCTGCTTATTTTTGGTAACCAACCTAACACTAAAAATGGAGTACTACAAGATCGATGTATCGTGTCAGCGTTTTTAAAGTTAAATTAATAGTATTAACATTGAGGTAATTATATAACTCTGTTATGATTATTAAATAAGCTTGACAACAAAGCAGGGAACAACATAATTAAACTGAGATTAAGGTTCTACAGATGTAACTATCCAAGTCATTATAGGAATTAATGAACAATTAATGTTTGAATAATAGATAAAGATAAAGATGTATGCATATTTTGACCAAGAATGAGAAGAGCACACAAGCAAGCTGCCCTGCGTAAGTACTGTAATTATATATGTTTAGGTTAAAATCTTATCAAATCTTGACATACGTTATAAAAATCATGTTGACGTGAAAGGAGACATTTTTTTACATACGTCGTGTATTTTTATTTAATTAATTAAGATATGTTACTAAAATATTGTAATATGAATATCCACTAGCTAGAGGCACAGTAACATACAGACGCGTGTCGTATTCTAGCTGATATATAGGAAATTAAATTAGATTAATTATATATACAGTTTGTCCCAAGATCAGATAGAAGTGGCTCTCAGTCTAATTATACATATGATATTTTTTATTTTATTTATTTAAATTTAAGTTGGGACCACTAGATCAAGCCACGTATATGGTTCTGCCAGCTGGTTTGTATATAATTAATTAATTAGGGTATTGTGATAGTTAATCATTGATAATCAACTTGAAATTATATATGTAAGGCCTCTATTTTGGATGGTAGCTTATATTGGAGTTTAAAGTCAATGAAGTTTGAAGCCATCAACTATATATTTGATAATTTGAATATGTTTGATAATCAATCTATTTATTTTTCCTAATGAATGAATACATATATATATATATATATATATATATATATTACTAATGGCCAGAAACAGTCCATTCATCAGCTTATAATCGAGAGTCATTTTCCTTGTTACTATTTGTATGTTTGACCATATTACTGTCATTTTTTTGGTGATATTAATAATGATGTTTTCGTTGTCCAAATTAAATTATTTTTTGAGAAATTAACTCTACTTTATTTTGTTAATCACCCATCTAAGTATGTGTCGTATTTTTAGAACAAAAACTAAGCTAATATTTGTGACTACTAGATGAATCTATGTTATAAAATTACGAGACCTTATAAAACTAATTTTTTGGTCAACTGTGATGAAGCTCAACTATTTACACACACAATAAATGCGTTCATATTTCGGCAAACACAAAACTCAATCACTGTAGCCCACGAAATTTATGCCAATCGGCGCCATTTATTATTCAACATAAAATAATATCAAACAAAATTTCCAACCACAAAAAAGAGGACCACCTGGCTACACTACACATGGCTTGATGAAGCCGGCTCGAATTAGAAGCCATGCAGCGCATTTAATTAGCTCGAATTAGGGTTACGTGGCTGCTCTTGTATTGGAGACAGCTAATATGAATCCAGAAAGCGAGGAAGAGTTAAGACTGCCGGAAAATGATATTTTTTTTATGTGTGGCCCAGAAATAATAATAATACATTAATTAATCACGAAGTAATCAATTTTTATTATTTAATTTTTTACCATGAGATAATTGACTTTGCTGAAATCACGATTTCTCAGAAAAAAAAAAAAAAAAAAGAGGGACACGTCGACTATGTGGTAACAGGGACGGCACCGAACCCTTTGACTTGTATTTGTTAACTTTATGTAAATTTATTTCTATCCGACTATATAAATATGGCCAACCCCTATTACTACTTTCCATATATATTACGGACCTACAAAATCATCTCTCTACTTTGATTAAAAAAAATTTATTCTGAAATTTAATTTGAGTAATCAATTAATTAAATAAGAAAGTGCCGCCATGGGAAGAGCTCCATGCTGTGAAAAAAATGGAGGACTCAAGAAAGGGCCGTGGACCCCAGAAGAAGATCAAAAGCTTCTTGATTATATACACAAAAATGGCTATGGAAATTGGAGAACTCTTCCTAAAAATGCTGGTTAGTTTTTTAATTAAATTAATCATATTTCGGTTGAATTTTTTTTGTCTAATTTTATTTTTAAATAAATATTTTAGGGCTACAAAGATGTGGCAAGAGTTGCCGTCTCCGGTGGACGAATTATCTCCGGCCAGATATCAAGAGAGGAAGATTCTCATTTGAAGAAGAAGAAACTATTATTCAACTCCACAGCATCCTTGGCAACAAGTATGTGCATGTTTAATTAATTAACTATATTCATTTTAATATTACCCTAGATATTTTTATTTAATTATTCGGACACTAATTAATAAACAAAAATAAAATTAGGTGGTCTGCAATTGCTGCTCGTCTTCCTGGAAGAACCGACAATGAAATCAAGAACTACTGGAACACACACATCAGAAAAAGGCTTATGCGTATGGGAATCGACCCCGTGACTCACGCCCCTCGACTCGACCTTCTCGATCTTTCCAGAATCTTAAACTCGTCTCTCTACGCTAACTCGGCGCAATCATCGTCCCAAGTGAATTTTTCGAGGTTATTAGGGTTGCAGCCTCTGATTAATATTAACCCCGAGTTAATCCGATTTGCCACGTCACTTTTGTCCTCCCAGAGAAGAGACCAACAAGATTTTCTTCATCAAACCAATCTAATCGAAAACCCTGTTCAAGATTCATTAACAATTCCCACTAGTTCGTGTTTTGAAGCTCATGATAACCTCATGCAATACGGCCCGCAAACTGATCTTGACGGGTTCGGGTCGATGATTGATCTTTCTACTACTTTGACGGAAGGTAATAACTATGATCATGGGCTAGTGACGAACTATGGTTATAATTACGGGTCGGATCAATATCATCGTCAATGCGCGGTGATGGATCCGGTTCCAGCAGCATTGGAGAAGTCAACGTTTGATCAGTCAAACAACAGCGCCAACAATTTCAGCTTTCAATCGGTTATGTCGTCGAATATGTCGACGCCGTCAACTAGCTCAACCCCGTTGCATTCGAATTCGGCTTATAATAATATTAACGGCAGCGGAACGGAAGACGAGAGGGAAAGTTACTGCAGTGACATTTTGAAGTTTGAAATTCCAGATATTTTCGATGTTAATGATTTTATCTAATTAATTTCATCTTCTCATTTTCTTTTTATTTATTTTTTTGAATGTTATTTTTTTTTTATGTACTTTGTAAATAAAAATTTCAATTCAAATAAGTTTTTACAAGTTTTCTGGTGCGTTCTTAATTAATCTTTATCACTCCAATAATATTAATTAGCTACCAATTAAGCAAAAAAATACCATGATTCTAGAAAAAACAAAATGTGCATCTGATTAGATAATATTGAAAGGCCTTTTTTTAATTAGTCGTAATCACAAATTAATATATATTAATTAAACATACACACGTACGTAATGAAACCCACACATAAAATTCGTATACTTTAATTGTACTCGAGAAAATAATAATGTAGGAATAATATAATTAAATCTGGGGATTAAAGAAAAGAAAAATATTTGCATGGATTATGGTGGATACGTACAGAGTCACAATATCAATAGTTTATTAATTAATTTATTAATTAAGATATCTCGCAGTATAATATTTGTTGCTGTTAACTTGCTTAAACGGGAAAAAAAATTGATACCGGGAAATAATCATCAACCAAATGAATTAATTAAATAAAATAATCAACTGTGTTGAAAGAGGAAGTTTAAGAAATTGAAATAGAAGGGGAGTGGTTTCATCGATTCCGACAGAGGAATAGCGGCGGCGTTAGCGCGGAGCCGACAGTGGCCGGTAGGAGACACGTGTATATATGCCACGTCAATAAACTATTTGCATCGGTAATGCTTCGTAGAGGGTTTGACTAACGGAGGAACACGTGTCCCGATGCTGAAGGTGTTAATTGGCAGTAGGGCCCACAAGGAAAAGGTTTTAAAATAGCTTTTATTGAAAAATATGGCGTGGCTCTTGTGCAATTTCTTGTCCTTTATGTCCTCCCATGCAATTAATGACCCGTGCGTCAAACATTAGGTGACGCCAGCACCAGGACACGTGGTTTCAATATAATTTTGATGGGGCCCACCTGTTGATCCAGTTTCCGAGCACGTCATTCACACGTCAGCATTACGTCAGAATAATAATGTTAACAATTTATTTATTCCACTCTTCTCTCTCTCGTCGAGGTAATTAAAAAAGTGGAAAGATAAATCGCTGTAGTTGGTAAAAAAAATAAAAAGACATAAATTATTGAGAACAATGAATTGGTATAAGATGTAAAAAGAGTAAATAGTAATACAGACAAACTTCGTGGTATGATTGTTCAAATAATATAAAAAATAAATATATATAATTATATATCGTGTCAAAGATTAACAGGGGCAATAATTGTACGGGCGATGTATGAAATTCAAAGAGGAAAAAGTCTGTGTTCATATTTGTGTATGTGTTATTTCATTTTCACCTTACTTAATTAGTTTCTAAATTATCTCTCGCTTTCTTCCCCGACCGCCCAAAGAAAAAGCCCTTGAATTTTTCGAATATGTATATAGACTATATACTTAAAAGTGGATTTATGTCTTTTATTTCCCAAGTATTGATTTTCCATTTTTTCATGCTGCGTGTCAACTTTCCACAGACGAGACTCTAATTTTTCTTTAAATTATAATATTCATATTATTTTTCTTTAATTCATTAATTAGTCTTTATGTTTAGCTTTAGCTTGACACTTCATCACTCTAAGAAACTTATGCTCGAAATGGGGAAAAATCTTCAACTCAAGAAACCAGCAAACGGCCCGCATGAGTGTAGCTCAACTGGTTCCGGAGATAGTAAATTGGTGCAAGAAACCAGCAAACGTGGCCCACCACCTTCTAATCTTTTTTTTTTCTCTTTTTTTATTTATATATATATTTTAAAAGTAATTGCATGATAATTGACTTTCAGTACTTCTATTTCAATTATAGCTAGCAATTAAAATACTAATTTCCAGGAGAGAATGATTGCATTTTGATTAATCACTTTTGGTTTCATGCATGGACAAGTTATCTCCAGTTAAGGTAATCTAGGACCAGTCCTAGGTTTTAGGTACAGGCATTCAAAAAGATAAAATCATATATTAATTAATTAGATCATAAAGTACTATTAATTATTGACGGTGTATTATTACAGGCTCAATGTGAATACGCTCTAGTTAAATATTTCAATTGATGGTGAAAGTTTTCGAGAATTGTTCAAATTCATTGTATAATTTGTATTAGTCCGCATAAACATCGTTGTCATCAGGAAAATTGACGTGTTAGAAATATGTTACACAATCCCCCACACACATGTTGAAATTAAAATTTGTAAATGTTGTTACTTATTAATTTGGGAATCAAAATAAAATAAAATTTAGTTAGGTATAAGTTCAAAATTCAAATAAGTAGTACTATAATTTAAACTTCAATATTTGAATTATTCCAGCCCATTAACAAAGAGTTTATTGCATTTACTACCCCTGTGAAAATCGCAACTGCGTGTTTTCCCCCTGTCATAAAACAATTAGCAAATACCCCCCTATATTTATTAGTCAAAGGCGAAAACCCCCCTCTTCGCAAATCGTGTGTCTCACGCGCGGTTTCTGCGATTTTTCTTCCTTATGTTGCAGGAAATGACAAAATTGCCCCCAACTTTTTTTCTTTTTCTTTTTTCTTTTCTTCTTTTCCTTTTTTTAATAAAGTAATAAATTAAAAAAGAAATTAATTAATATTTAATATTCTGAAACAAAACCACCACAGTTCCCACCATAGTCCACGGAAGGGGACACCAAATCGCCACCACTCTGTGCGCCATATACACCACTCTCTCAAGGTATAATCGGGTTTGTGGGGCACCACAAACTCACTTCCGAGTTTCGACAAAGCTCACCAGCCGCTCAATTTCTGCAGCTCCTCGCCGCCGTAGGCGACGGAAGAGAGGAGAAAATTCTGGTGAAAGTGGGAGGTGGAATGGGAGGCGGCAGCGAGGTGAAGTTGGCGGTGGACCGGTGTCTGCGGCAAGAAGAGTGGAGGAGACATGTTGTGGAAGGAAAGAGGTGGGGCCGGTGGTGGTGGCGGCGTGAAGAGGTGACTGCCGAAGGTGGTGGTGGTGGTGGCGGCGATTTCAATGGGGAATAAGAAGAAATTAGGGGAAGACATGTTCTTCTCTCTGGTTGGAGGCGGCGGCATAACGAGGTGATTGCCGGTGGTGGTGGTGGTGGTGGCAATTTCAATGGGATTAAGAAATTTGGGGAAGACGATGTTTTTTTTTTCTTTTTTTTTTCTATAAAAAATTGTGTTATTTACGTTTGTTAAAGAAATTTTAAAAATTGCAATTCGATCCAAATTTTTGGATTATTGTATTTAAATTTTTGGATTTATGTTTATCTATATAAGAATTTTCTTTGTTTATGTTTTAATGTTTTTACTTAATATTATTAAACGAATAATTATAATATTAACTTAAATTTCTAATTATTTTTCAGTTCCTAAATAATTTTATATTTTAATTTGGCTCCATAATATTGTTTTCAGCCCCATAATTTTCGAAATATTATGTATTTCCTGAAAATTACAATTCAGTCCCTAACTTATTATTTGATTAAGTTTCTACAATTTTTCAGTAATTCAATTTGGTCCCCAAGTTTTTTTTCAGGAATCTCCTCAGGGCATTTCTGTCTTTTCACAACCGGTCAACAGGAAAAAGGGGAATGGGTCGAGTATGCTACCTAAAAATAAATACAGGGGGGTATTTGCTAATTTTTTTATGACAGGGGGAAAACACGCAGTTGCGATTTTCACAGGGGTAGTAATTGCAATAAACTCCATTAACAAATCACACAATAAGCAGGGCCCGAGAAGCAAACTAGTATAAGAATTGTGGCCCGATTAATTTGCATGCCAGCGCAGAGGCTATAAACATCATATGCGGGTGACACTTGTCCGCCACGCTGGCACCGCAATAGGATCCATCATCACACAATTTGACTACGTGTCTTCTCTTTTCATATGAATCTGATTATATGAAATTAATATAAATCGGAAATAATCTTCCCTTTAATTAATTAAGTTGTTCCTGAGACTAATCGATCAAACTATAGTAGCTTGGATTAATTAGCATGGAACAGATGCCTAGGGCGGCGTTGGACCCACTGGTTGTGGGAAAAGTGATCGGAGATGTGCTGGACATGTTTGTTCCGGCGGCGGAGTTGGCCGTGCATTACGGCGGCGAAGAGATAGGCAATGGGAGTGAGGTGAAGCCTTCCTCGGCGGCTCAAAGGCCTAAAGTCCAGATTAAGGGCGCCATTTCTCCTAGTTATTACACTCTTGTAAGTTAATTAAATTGGTACCATTTAATTAGGTTATAACTAATTAAATGAATTATTGTTTTTTAATTTGGATATATATACATATGCGTAGGTAATGGTTGATCCAGATGCTCCTAGCCCAGGTGAACCCACCCTCAGAGAGTGGCTCCATTGGTAAATTAAACACATATTTAAATCATAATATTTTTCGCATTTGTGTATATTCTATAATAATTAATTAGTAAACTTATTTTATGTTGAACATAATATAATTTTGTGGTTAATCAAGTATTAATTAATAATTATATTGATCCTTATTTCGTTGATACAGGCTGGTAATAGATATTCCTGAGGGATCCGATGCAACCGAAGGTAACAAAACGATTTAATTTTTGTTAATGATGAAAAATATTTGTATTATTTTATTAATTTTTGGTTGGTAATTAATTGGATAAATAAAATAAATAGTGTTTATGAACAATATGCAGGAAAGGAGATAATGGAATATATGGGGCCGAAGCCCCCAGCCGGCGTCCACCGTTACGTGTTTGCAGTTTTCCAGCAGCATGGGCTGATGGAAACAGTGAAAAGGAAGCCGGTGGAGCGGCAACTGTTCGACACGCGCCAATTCGCGAGAGAGAATGATCTTGGCCTCCCCGCCGCTGCTCTGTATTTCAAATCTCACAAATAATATATAGGGTAAATTACAAACACCCCCTTGAGGTATGGTCAAATTACAAAAACACCCCTCTTGTTTGAATAATTACAACCACCCCCCTCAACTATGATTTTTTCTTAGACCTCCACCTTTATGGTGCCAAATTCAACATAGTCATCTAGATTCCGTGAAATGTGATCTAGTTTGTACTCTTTTTGTGTAAAAAAATACAGTTTCCGATGCACCACAAACTGATATATACAAGCTAAAAATCACATATTATGATCATCTTGCTTCATAATGTAGAGTTTGAATGGGATAAAACGGGTACAAAAGTGATAGTATTCCATATAATCTCGAAGATTCCACTAAATTTGATGAGTTGAGGGGTGGTTGTAATTATTCAAACAAGAGGGGTGTTTTTGTAATTTGACCATACCTCAGGGCGGTGTTTGTAATTTACCCTAATATATATCATAAATGCCAGCTGGCGGTGTCAATTAACAATAAATATTAGCTAAAGGGTTTATTATCTGTTTAATTAACATCATATTACTGGTAATGCATATGTGTAGATTTATGATATGCTGCTGTATCTTTTTTCTTGTTATAGTGTTGTCGTGCTGGCTCTTTTGTATTTGCTTATGTTGTGCATAGCTTGTAATTACACTACTTATATAATTAGCGTGAGGGTGTATTATTTTGAACTGATACGGCGTCGTTTTGGTTGTATTTCACATACAAGTATTTTTGTAAGATATTTTCAGAAAACGGGCTATTAAGCCCAATTCAGTCAAACAAATCGGGTCGGATCCAATGAGAGGTGGCCGGTGGGCTACCTTGTTGTCATGTTTTGGTCCTCTTATTTCCGGCATTTCAACTTTGATTTGGTCACAATAAAAGTCAACGATGTCCAATTCGGCTTCAATATGGTTGTCCTTTGCCCACTTAAAACTAGTTTGGCCCACTTAGTACAACTTTTGATTTCATGTAGGAGGTGTTCTACTAATTTATTAATTGAATATTACTATTTGATTGCGGATTAAAAATAAAATGTTAATTTACGATTTTTTTTTAATACTAACAAATAAAACCTATTTTTATATGTGGGTGAATGTGAAAAAAAAAGTATGAAAAAGTATAATATATCCTGGTATCTTTTATTTGAAATATAGAATAAACCATAAATCCCTCAAAATAAAATTACCAAATAGAAATAGTAATAATTTTGGAAAAACAACAGTAAAGCAGTAAGCCGTAAGCCGCAAGACTCGCGATCGAAATCGAACCGAAACAACACCCGAACCGTGGCCCCTATCTTTGTCGAACCCGGTTCATAATCCTTCTTCTTCTTCTTCATCTCCTTCACATTCCATCTTATGCCGCCCCGCGCTTAGGTTAACAAAAACACAAAATTTCAACTTTATTGGAACTCCTGCGAAAGTTTCTTCCAAAATTCATTCATAAAGAAAGCCGATATTCACCCCCCAGTGTCGAATCTCGAATCTGTGAATCGTTTATGATCCACATGGTTGAATCTCCATCAATCGCAGGAAAATGCTCTTCGGCAGCTCCGTACAACTCCCGCGCACGTTAGCCTCTCCAATTTTAACTGAATCCAGTTTTCGCCATGTCAAGGTTCGTCGAGGCGCTTTCTCCCCCCTTTTGCTTTTCATTATTTACTTATTTCTTTTCTGTTTGTTGTTATTAAGCACTACAATGTTTTCTATTTACTGAAATATACATTTGGTAGTTTATTGGGAGTTTTTTTTTTTTTTTTTTTTTTTTTTTTTTTTTTTAATTAGAACAATACATCTCGATTTTTTTAGCTTTTATACCCTGTTATTCAGTATCTATCTAGTTGATGAATGCCAATCTATGGGAGACTAATAGGTGTTGCTGAATTGGGATATTGTTCTACTGTTGTATTTTTTCACTAAGTATTGTTATTGATTGGTTTTTCCACCTCCTTAAGAGGTTGCAGATTGTTGAAATTCGGAGCTCTCAAGAGATTGTCGCCTTCTTTTCGAACAAATCAGGCGAGCATCTATTCACAAAGGTCAAATGACAGAGCCCTCGTTAGACCTAGTTTATCTTCTCCTCAACACAGATTTTACTCGCATTATTTCCCTCGAAGCAGGGGCCGTAATATTTGGAATGCAGCTCGTGAAACCGGAAAAAGTTCCTATCCCATTTACTCCCGGAGTTATTCGGCGATTCCAGCTAGTAATACCTTAGCTCATCATGCCCGAATTGCTTTGAAGAGAATAACACAGTCCTCTGTACATAATGGACAAACTCATGTCCCTTTAAACAGGTTTGGTCAGGCAGTTAGCTTAGGATTGAGCCGCTCGTACACGGTTGTTCCTGGTATGTTTGCTTTTGTGTTTGGAACCCAGTCAGCATTTGCACGAGCTGTTCAAGACACTCATATCGTGTACGAGCCGAGGAATTCTTTATACACGCGTGCTCAAGACAGCCAGCTCTTTGTAACAAAATTGATACTTTCCATATTCGAAGGGATTTTCTTGTTGCTCAGAGCTCTTCACTTGGCTGTTCTGTTCACTCCGAGCATCGCCATGGCTCCATTTGCTGATAGCTTCGGACCCCATTTTCGGAAACTGTGGCTTCAGGTTATCCACCAAACCCTAGAAAGAGCGGGTCCCGCTTTCATAAAGTGGGGCCAGTGGGCAGCCACACGACCGGATCTTTTTCCTCGAGACTTGTGCAGTGAATTGTCCAAGCTTCACATGAAAGCACCCGAACATAGCTTTGCCTACACGAAAAAGACTATTGAGAGAGCTTTCGGTCGTAAGATTAACGAAATCTTCGATGACTTTGAGGAAGAACCGGTAGCTTCCGGAAGTATAGCTCAAGTGCATCGAGCTTCAGTACGGTCCAGATACCATGGCCGTGAAATGAAACCTATGCTTGTTGCTGTTAAGGTAAGACATCCAGGAGTTGGGGAATCTATAAAGAGGGATTTTGCAATAATTAATGTTGTTGCCAAGATTTCGGGGTTTATCCCTGCTCTGAAATGGTTGAGATTGGATGAAAGCGTGCAGCAGTTTGCGGTTTTCATGATGTCTCAAGTTGATCTTGCTAGGGAAGCTGCTAATTTGAGCCGCTTCTTATATAATTTCCGCAGTTGGAAAGATGTTTCGTTCCCAAAGCCCGTTTATCCACTAGTGCATCCAGCTGTGCTGGTGGAAACTTTCGAACATGGAGAAAGTGTTGCTCACTATGTTGATGAGCTTGAGGGGAACGAGCGAATTAAAAGTGCTCTTGCTCACATTGGAACTCATGCACTTCTGAAAATGCTCCTGGTAACTTTTTATGTCCTGTTTTTACTTTAAATTCTTTAATTCCTTTTTTTTTGTGTGTGTGATCATGCCATGATGGGAATTACTTAGATGAAGGTTTTAAATTAATTGACTTTCATCAGCCTATTAATCTCGAGTATGATGTCGGCACTATCTGATGATTGTGTTAATCCGTTAAGAGGACAAATTGATGTTCTTGAACTTCTTATTATGCTATGTGGGCCAGTGACAAGTGTGGAACACGGAATCAATAGTTACATAATAAAGGTGTTGGATCATTCAGAATGCAATAAGATGTTCATTCATGTGATATGTCCTGTATCTAAATGTTGGAGACAGCCACTGATGTTCTCTTTTGTTATGTTTATGTGTGTTTGTTCCTCAATATATATATGCATTCATTAGTAAATGATATTTCTATTGTTTTGAGGGTTCTTTTTTCTTTCTTTTCTTTGGTTGGTAGGTGGACAACTTTGTTCATGCAGACATGCACCCTGGAAATATCCTTGTACGAGTAGCTAGGAGCAAACGTTCTCGTAAAAAGCTCTTCAAAGCGAAACCTCACCTTGTATTCATTGATGTGGGAATGACTGCGGAACTTTCTAAGAACGATCGGACTAATTTATTGGAATTCTTTAAATCTGTTGCTCGCAGAGATGGCCGAACTGCAGCAGAATGCACACTTAGATTATCGAGGAAACAGAACTGTCCAAATCCAGAGGCTTTCATTCAGGTGAAACAAAATTGTCCTTTTGTATTAATTCGAAACAACGTTAGATACAACGTTGTAATTTTCTGACTTTCCTCGTACACGGCATTTTTTTTTTTTTTGGTGTCACAGGAAATGAAAGAGTCGTTTGATTTTTGGGGCACACCCGAAGGAGATTCGGTCCATCCAGCTGAATGCATGGAGCAAGTACTCGAGAAAGCTCGTCGGCATAGAGTAAATGTTGATGGCAATGTTTGCACTGTGATGGTGACAATTTTAGTCCTTGAGGTTAATTCTCTTGTCTAACTTTTTCCACGTAATCTGAAAAAATGTTGTCCAATTCTTTAAATGCGAAAATGTTTATCTTCGTTAGACACTAGTCTAGAAAGTTCTTAAGAGCATTTTTTCACAAGTACTTTTTTTAAAAAAAAAAAATTGGGCTTCGTTTGTAGGGGTGGCAGAGGAAGCTCGATCCAGATTACGATATGATGCATACACTACAAACGCTGCTACTCAAAGCTGACTGGGCAAAATCTCTTTCTTATACAATCGATGGACTTATGGCTCCTTGAATGCTCTTATGTTCGGTAACTAAGTTTACTGCCTAACAAATTTTGACATTGTAGAACACTTCAACTGTACATCAAGCACTCCTTGGTTATTTATAAATTTCTTTTTGCAAATAAAATTATTGACATTTATTGTTGGGGTGTGTGCCCAATCACAATTTTGGTAAGGAATAAGGATGGTAATATTTTGTATTATTCACATTAAATCGATCTGCAAAACCACGGGCGACGAGGCGCATGAAGACAACTTTTTTTTGAGGTAATGAATAAACTCTTGTCGTTTCAAGTTTGTAATTTACATAAATCTTTCGACTTCTGTTATTATTTTGCCAAGTTTGCGTATCAGACGGGATATTTGTAATACCAGGTTACATATGTACATTTCTTATAAGATATAAACATCAACTACTACTACTTATACAACAAAATATACGCATATATACACTATGTACGATAAGCTTACTTATCTTCTTCGAAGAAACGTTTTACCCTGTGCATCTTCCTTCATAATTCGCATGATTTGGTGCGGGGGAATATTCCTCCAAACCTGAGGCTTCTTCAATTGATGCCCTATCAGTGCAAATTTGTCAGCAGCTCTATTTCCCTCCCGATAAATATGCGTGATAATACAATTCTTTATTTCCGGTACGATCAAATTTATACGATCGACATGCATTTGTACTTGTGTGCATTTGACCTCTCTTTTCCCAGCAATAATATCTACGAGACTCTTCGAATCTCCTTCGAGCCACACATCACTCCAACCGTTTTCTCGCACGATTTCGAGACCTCTTAACAGGGCGGCCAATTCTGCTATTGTGCTATTGCTTTGCCCGATTGACTCGGCGTAGCCTAGCAAGAAATCAGCATTGTGGTCTCGGAATATTCCTCCAATGCTGCATTTTCCCGTTTTGCCCTTGCATGATCCGTCGTAGTTCAGTTTCGTCCAACCTTCCTCTGGTTTCTCCCATGTTACCTTAATTGCTTCCCTGTGCCAGTTCCTTGCTAAAATTCGGAATGGCCGGTTAATTGCTGCTCCGTTGCAAAATAATCTCGAGATTACTGGCATCATCTCTTTATATATCTAACATATACGTACACAAAAAAATGATAAATACAAACATTTACATGCAAAACTTGGGAATAACAATGAAATTACGTTATAGAGTTGGTAAGAAACACAAACATGCCTTCATGCACTTTGTCTGAAAGTAGGAGTATAGGAAAAGCAAAGGTAGTTTGAGAATTTGGGGATACTTGGGAAGAAACTGATTATGGAATTTATCTATAAAAAAGAATCTATGTTCATTTTATTTCTATTTTCTCGAGTGGATATTCTCAAGCAGGTTTTGTCTGTGTGGATTTGGTTTAAAGCATTAAAACCGTTGTTTTTATTAACTGACGGAATAACTGCCACCATTTCTTGAAATTGAACCAATTTTTGTGGAGTTTTAACCGCCTAATTATCAGAAGCCAAGAACTTAGGCATTGGTTTTACTATAGCCGTTGAATTTGGAGGCCCTTCTTCTTCGACTAAATTCAATCCTATCGTTTCAAAAGATATTCGAATGGATAATCTACTCATTATCGGAATTAGTACTAAAAAATATTTCCTTGTCCCTCGTGTTGTCGAAGACTTTCAAGATTTGATCTTCCGGTTGGATTCTACACTTGGTGAAATACAAAGCGTACTATGTATAAATTACAAGTGAATCTATAATTGTGAATGGTAGGACATTTCAGTGTGTTAAACATAGAACAAACCGAAATTAGATATTTAGTTATAATGTTAATGAATATATTCGTAACAATATATATTTTACATGACTGAATTATTATTAGGATTAGTTGATGGAACCCTCATTAGAGAAGTATTTTGAACTAACTATAAAGGAAATTACATCGTTAGGTGATTCTATTTCACATTTTTTCTTCTTTTAAATTTGACATCCTCTCTCGTTCACTTGAAGTACCTAAAATGCCCTTTCATAACCAGTTTCAATGCAGCAAGTTGTTTGCTTGCCTTTCACGATCGCGATAATTACGTCTTCGCCACGTAAAAACGCGAGTCTTATTAGAAGAAATTTTGTAGACAAATCTCGAAGAAATATCCATCCATACAAGTCCCAATTTTCGTGTATAGATTCGGGAAATTGCCATCATTTTTTTGTTGTATAGGTTTCAAAAATTTGACTTCGATGGAGGTTTGGGAGCGGTTTTTGGGGGTGAAGATTATGTGTGCGGTTTCGAGAGTGTTGCAAGCGAGATGAGCGTTTTGAGAATATAATCTTTGCGTATTTGTTGCGTGTTTGAATAGCTGTGTTGGGTGGGAACTGCACGCTATAAGTGGAATTTGATTTCTCTATTTCAATCACCGATTTTATTTAGTTAGGGATAGATAATATGGTACTTTTATGTCTCCAGGGGTATTCACAAGGATGATTTTGGGTCGAGTTTTTTTCTAGTTTACTGGGCCCAAAAAAAAAAAAAAAAAAAAAAAAAAGCGGATTGCATAAGTTGGAAATTCACACAGTTGGGCTGTATCTTGTTCAGGCCCAATTATGAATTTATTATATTGGGCCTAAAACTTTAACATCAAACCGGACCCAATACAATATATATCTCAATTATTATTATATTGCACATTGGATTGATTGACTTAGTCAAAGTGTAGAAGGGGGGGGTGGGGTCCACAGAATGGGATAGTAGTACTGAGAAGAAGAAATGATGGTGCTGTGTGCATGGGGTGAATGGCGTGCGTGAATATCCATCTACTCATACAATATTAAGCATGCATGCATGCATGCCTCTGCATTTCAATCATTCTATCTATTTTTCACTACTAACATTTATGCTATATATTAATTATAATTATCGTAAGAAAAATATATTATATATATATATATATATATATATCGTGAAATTAAAAAGAAGAAAGCATAAGTAAGAAAGAATAAAGTGAAAGTTATAATTGCGTGTTCATGTAGTGGGAATTTTAATTTATAATGAGCCCCAGAGGCTTTCTCTTTTATCAATGAAAAAAGCCCATAAATTCCTTTTATAAAAGAATCAATACCCCCTTAATTCAATATCAAATATATATTTATTGAACGAAAATAATAAATCTGTGTGTATATATATAATATAAATATATACGTTGCTTGTTCATGAGGCAATATGCAGTGAGATATTATATCATTGCTGTAACACTAATAAAAGTAAGTTGCTATTTGGGATAAAGTTGTCCAAATTGTTTATAAGTCTGTCTTCCAATTCTTGAAAAAGAAAGTCTGCCAAAAACTTGATAATATATATATATATATATATAGACACTAAATGAAAAATTGTTTCTACTAGTTGTATATTAAACTGCAATTGTTTCTTTAATTTGATGGAGCTAGGAATATAATATTATATACCTGACTACCGTTTATGGTAAAAGCAATTAATTAGGTTGACTGTATATATAGAGAGAGCCAATATTCGATGAACCAATATAGTTAAAAGTTCCCCCGGGCCCCTATATGGTTGGCTGCGGGTTCCTGCATTACCCAAAAAAAAAAAAAAAAAAAAAAAAAAAAAAAAAAAAAAAATATAGTTAAAAGTTAAAACAATTATTTTGAGGTCATATGTATGAGTTTTTATGGTCGTGTTTTGGAGTATATATATGTAAGAAGCATCTGGTCAAAGAAAAAGCTGCTGCATTTGCTTTATAATTTACAATTGTCCTTTTAACTTATCTAGATCATGTGATTCAGTAACAAGCATGGTGAAAGAAAGTAATAACCATATACTTTAAAACAGATTATTCTAATTAAATATATTACATATTTAAATCTAAGATCACATGAGTGAGTAAAATTAAATAAGATGCATGATTTTTTTTGAAAAGCAATTGTCCAAAACTGTACATATATTGGAAGGACAGAAACATAAATGTTTGATTTAATAAGTAAATAAATAATTTACCTTCAAAACAATAATGTATCAAGGAGAATTGCGAAATGTGTATCAACAAGACCAATTAATGCACTGATAAAAAAAAAATGTACCAATTAATGCAGTCACGTCACGTGTGTGACAAATATGTGTAGAAATTCAATAATTGATAAAATCTGGAAAAAAAAAAATTAAAAAAATAAAGTGGCTCAATTAGTGTTTAGAAGAGAAATTCCAGAAACATGGGACTGGCTCTTCGCTGGCATTTGAATCAATTCCTTGTGTACATGAATCACGTGACACCTCCCTGTAATGTCAGTTTTTTGCATCAACCAATTCAATTTCATTGTTCAAATAATTTTGTTTATATGCATATATGTTTATTGAAAATATTAATATTTAAAAAAATTTAGGAGTTTGATATCGATTTCTTGATTAGATAAGCAAGGTATATTCTGTACGTCATAAATGTGTATAAATGTATATGTATTATGAATATCCATACATAAATGTGTTTGATTATATATAAATTACTTATGTATTTCACCAGCGTTTATACTTTAAATTATACTACATTGGATAAAATATATCGAGTAAATTTTACCGTAACAATAAAAATACGACGGAGAGTAACTTTTGACCGGTAAAAATAACCCATAGGCCATAGTTGATTGGGGCAAACTTTTACTGCAGCCATTGATTTGAAAGTCAAAAGGTTAGATTCTAGTGGCATGATTATTTTTTTCTTATAGATTTGGTGTATTTACTGTTTAGACCTTCTGCTTTCTCCTTTTTTTTTTTTTTTTTTTTTTTTTTCTGATTTAAATATTACTGGATCTTGTGGATAATTGACACGTAGAATAAATATCGAGAGTGAGGCGTTGAATGTTTGATACTGAATACTACTGATACAGTTCTCTCTCCAACTTTAATGGCATTCGCTCTCTCTCGCATTCTATAAACAGTCTCGCATTTGTTCACGGATTATTATTATTTTTATTTTTTTTATTTTGAATCTCTCTGAAAAATGGAGCTGGATCTTCAGAATCCTTTGACGACGAGTTACGAAGACCTCCAATACGACGGCGTTCCGTCTCTCTTCTCCAATGAGTCCGACCACATGTCCTCCTCTCTTCTCTCTTTCGACTCCTCCGATTCGCGATTCTCTATTCGCCGGAGCGCCGTCGCTCTCCTTTCTCATGTAAAATTCATCCTACTCTGAATATTAAATAAAATGTATTATTATTCTATATTATATATTATTGTCTAACTGATTTATTATTGCAGGCGAAGTTCTCGTACAATTTAGATCCGTTTCTGGTGTATCTCTCTGTGAATTACGTCGACCGTTTCCTCTCCAAGCAGCGAACTCTGGTAATCAGTGCGTTTTGATATTAAGATTGATGAACAATTGATACTGAAAACACATTGCTCATTTATCGAGATTTAATTTGTCGAGAAATCAGGAGAAAAAGCCATGGATTGCGCAGATTCTGGTAGTTGCAAGCCTTTCACTTGCCGCCAAGATGAGAAACTCCGATTTATCTCTCCCAATCTCCGATTTACAGGTTTAATTACTAATTACGATCTCAACACTGTATAATTACTACAACTCTGTGGGATGATGAATTGAAATTATAGTATATGCAATTTGTGTTGAAGCAGAGAGAAGAAGGTTTTGAGTTCGAATCGCAGTCGGTTCGTCGAATGGAAACGATTTTACTTTCGACTCTGCAATGGCGTATGCGATCCATCACTCCTTTCTCATTTCTCCAATACTTCATCTCTCTTATCAAAACCGACAACGACGACGACGACGACTCGTCCTTAACTCAATGCCTCAACCGCCGAGCTTCAGATCTAATTTTCAATGTTCAACACGGTAATTTTTTTTTTTATTTTTTTTTTGTATAAAAATAGCTTAATCATCAATGTGTGTTTAATTTCAACTTTTAAGCAGAAATGGAGCTTTTGGAGTATAAACCTTCGATAATATCAGCTTCAGCGCTTCTCTGCGCCGTCCACGGATTAACTCCGCTCATGTTTTCTTCTTGCGAAGAAGCAATTTCTTCCTCCGAATATGTTAACAGAGTAAGCACTGCTACATATAAATTGCCGAGATTTAACTAACGGCGTTACTAAAAAAAATCATTGATTTGATTGCAGGGTGTATTGTTGGAATGCGTAGGTGCGATGCAGGAGATAACAAGGGAGGGGTACGAGCAAAGTAGTGTTCAAGCATCGGCGAGTGGTACGGTGACGCCGATCAGTGTATTTGACTGGCAAGGTACAAGCACGGTAAGCGAGGAAGGTACCACCGATAACAGCGTTAAGCGGCGGAGGTTAAATGGTAGTAGTATATGTGACAGTATCACTTTCCAGATCTCCCAAATTCAGCGGTGTTAATTAGCGCCGCCTTGTAAAAGTCCAGAGTCAGCGTTTCTTTATAAAAAGATTAAAAAAAAAAAAAAAAAAAAAAGCAGAAACATAAGTTTCGTTTCAGTCATGGCTCTGACAATTTTACTACAAGATTGCATATAATAATAATAAGGGGAAACTACAGAAAAATCCCTAAACCAAAACTTGAAACACAGATCAGTCCCTAGGTAGTTTGCCCTAGCATTTCAGTCCCTACTCACACACTTAACATGCAGATCAGTCCCTAATAAAATGTGCAAATACGAAAATACCCTTTACTTTATACTAATTTTACATAACTTCTTTTCAACTTCCAACGCGCCGTTTGTATTACACGCTCTTTGCCCGTTACATTTCAAAAATCAAACAACAAAAAAGAAGCTAAAAAGGCGCAGAAAAAACCACCGTTCAGTAATACCCATTTTCAGACCAAGAAGAAACGAAGAAGAAACGAAGAAGAAACGAAGAAGAAACGAAGAAGAAACGCAACAGAGAAACAACAAAGAAGGAAGAAATTACGAAACACGAAGAATCAACAAACCGCAGAAAAATAGTATAAACAAACCCATTTATAAACAATGGTGAAGCAGGGTAAACAACAAGGTTTGATTTTTTATTTTTTTTTCATTTTCTTGGAAACAGACCCATTTGGGTGTTGCTTAAGCAGGGCAAAAAGGTTTATTTGTTATAGAATTGCATGATTTTGAACATATCCACTCATGGGTATTATGCCTCGACTTTATTCGGTGTTTGCCCTAATCATTAAATCGGTTCCAATATTTGTTGTTCTGTTGTTTGGGTTTGCAAAGATCATTTATTTGTTGTCGAATTTCATGATTTTGTAACAGTTTTCTCATGGGTATTATTCTTCGGTGACATTAGCATGTCCCCAAAACATTTTGAGTCCTAACAAGGGTTTCATATAGGATATGGGAAAGAGGCTTATTGTATTTTTCGTACTGGTTCTATAGTATGTGTCATGCGCAGTAATGGTATTAATAGTGCATTTAGATGGTATAATCTTTGATGGTTCTGTAGCATGTGTCATATGCCACAATAGTATTACCAGTGACTTTGAATGGTATTACTAGTGACTTCGGATGGTATTGACATGTGGTACTAGAAGTATAATGTTGATGGTCCTGTAGTATAAGTCATATGCCATAATAGTATTACTAGTGCCTTTAAATGGTATTACTTGTGACTTCGGATGGTATTGACTTGTGGTACTAGAAGTATAATGTTTGATGGTCCTGTAGTATAAGTCATATGCCATAATAGTATTACCAGTGCCTTTGAATGGTATTACTAGTGATTTCGGATGGTATTGACATGTGGAACTTTATAGTACGTTGTATTTGTTATAATTGTATTTGTTTTATGTGTATGTAATTGCAGGAATTGTTGTAAAAGAAGATTGCAGCAAGCTATCAATAGGCTGCAGGTGCTCACCGATCGCTTTTCACCTAACTATGGAAGGTGTGAAAAAAGTGATGAAGAAACAACATCATGAAGTACTGAAGAAAAATCCCTTCTATCACTACATGGACATGCCTAAAATAAACCACAGCTTCCATAGGGTTGTGTCTCTCATGCAAGCGTACAATCCAGAAGATCGGGCCTTCTGGTTTGGGGGAAATACTATACGCTTGGAATTCACTCCGCAGCAATTATCTATCGTATTAGGGCTGCAGTACGAAGGCGTACCGGTGGATGTGAATATGGATGGCAGAGACACTGGTTTCATCACACGTATTTTTGATGGTAAGTTATCTTTAATGACGAGGCCATATATTGGTTATAAACTGGAGGCCTATGCAGTTATGACCGATCAACAATCTGTTGAAGATTTCAGCAGATTGTACACTATTTATCTGTTTAATACTATTCTACTGCCAAAGGGGAACAAAACGTTAGAAAGGTGGGTTTATCCGCATGTAGAAGATTTGGAGGTTTTAGGGTCTTTTGCATGGGGAAAGTTGGTGTATGATATTCTTGTTGAGAATATGGAGGGGTATCTGAAGGGGGGGTTGAAGTATTTTGATGGATGCACTATCGGCTTATTGGTAAGTGATATCTAATAGTGAATATATATTATGTTATATTGAATATACCAATTAATATTGATTCCAAAATACGCAGGCATGGGTGCATGAAAGGATCACGTTACTAGGGGTTAGCACCAGTGTTTACAAATTTCCCCGGTTCTTCCGGTGGCAAGACAGCAAAATCCCAATCGATGAAGAAGCAGCTAGGTTGCTTTTTGATCAGATAAAACAAGTGCAGGTAACACTTTGAGTTACAAAATATATAATGTATTAGGTATTTGCTAACAAATTTTTTACGTTTATTAGGTTATACCATTTTCTGTGTACAGATTTGTTGAAATAAGTTCTGAGAGTGGTGAAGATGAGATTGGAGACGTGGAAGCAACACCTGTAAGTCATTAATACAATAAACCCTAAAATTCATACTTCCATTCACATTGGAACATACTATATGTCAACTAATATAATACTATTGTATAACATGTTTCGTACTATTGTTTTTTTTAGTTGCAGCATAAGAAGAATAACTTAAAAAGGAAGAGGGGGAATGTAACAGAAGAAAAAAATAAAGAAAAAAAAATGCAGAGTAAGAGAAAGAAAGAAAAGGAGATAGAGAAAGAGAAGGAGATAGAGATAGAGAAAGAGCAGGAGAGAGAGAAGGAGAAAGAGAAAGAGACCGAGAGAGTGAATGAGAGAGAAAGAATGAGAGAGAGACAG